TCATCATTGCTACCCGCCCTCATGTGAGCCTGGATGTCAGAACAAACCCAGTATTGTTTTATGCAACATACATGCAATCTAAAACACTGCCATAGTTTCCTGAATAATATTTAAAAGGATACATAAAATTAGGTGCTTTACCTTCTAAAGTATGGAAGATTACACTTATAAATTAAGGAAACAAGTTCTGAGCCTGAGGTATTTCTTTTAGAGTCTCTAGAGAGCCATGATGGATCAATTATAAGATAATCCTCAGAGACAGCACCCAGGCATACAAAATCTTCTAAAAAGGTACCAACCCTGGCAGTAGCTTTGGGTGATATTAGCAGAAAGTAGGAAGTGTGGTGGTAGATGTTCAGTAGAACTCTTTCAGAAATTCTACAGCTAAATGTTGGGGAAAGTCATCTCCAAAGACCAATTCCTGCCCTTGCCAACCCAGCTGTGCCTTGGCAAGTGTAGTCTCCCCTTCTTGCCTTTAGTCTATTTCCTTGAAGCATTAGAACAGGATCTAAAGCCTGGTAATTGAATCTTTTCCTTATTTGTGGTAAAACATGTCTCTTGGAATGCTATGAGGTCAAAATTAGACAAGAACTCCATTGGGTCCCCATTCATTACCCTATTTTTCAAGCCAGTGATATTTCAAATCAGTAACTGGATAGAACTAAGTAATGTAATATTAGTGGAGATGATTGGGAAGGAATTGGAATTTTGAATTGAAGGACATGGGTTTTTTGAATGGGACTGATGTTATCCAAAATTCCTTCAGTGTCAAAACAAATCATACTGAAATTTGTCTACCTTTATCTCTGCCTTGCTGTTTGTAAGCTGTAGTAGATTTTGAGATGAGCAGCAATTTGGGTGGAGTACTTTTGCAATTTGGCAGAATAACATCAGAGTCCAGGAGGGATAGCTTACTTTTAGGTGAGTAGTAGGATGATGTCTTGCTTCAGCTTCTCTCCTTAGCCAGTTTTGAATGACTTCATGAACCTTAACCCTTGCTGATGAGTTGGGAGTTAAATCTATTATTAGAAACATTGAGCTAAGGGTGATCTCTTCCTTATAACTCAGAGCTACTCCAAGACCATCCTTGGATGGTAATTCACCAAGATTTGGAATGCGTCTTACTTCCTCTTGTTTATTGAATTCTATTTTATTTCTGTTACTTACATTTTCTGTATCTTATGATGTTTTATCAGGGAGTGGGGGGAGTAAAATGGAAACTTCTCATACACTTTGTTGTTCTTTTCCATGTCCATATTACATGTTGAAAAAGAGGAAGAACCTGCAGATGGTTTCTCAAAGCAGGCATTATTGGGCAGTTGGGATTCCCTTGTTGCATAAGCCTTCTATCAGCTGGACAATCTGAGAAGAGCAAGGTTCCTCAGAGATTGAGGCAGAAAGATATAGAACTGTACGGCTGGAAGGGATCTTGGAGATCAATTAGTCCAACTCTCTGCCAAAGGCAGGAGTTCTTAACTTTAATTACTTTATCAAAGAAGGTAATAAAGCTTGTTTGACATGGCCTGTTTTTAATAAACTTATGCTGGCTTCTAGTAATCACCTTGTTCATTTCTAGGTGATCATAAATCTGTTGTTTGGTTATCTTTTCCAGGATTTTCCCAGGTAATAATGTCAAGCTGATTGGTCTGTAGCTTTTCTCCTTTTTGAAGATTAGAATCACATCAGCCCTTTTCTAGTCTTCTGGCAGTTCCTCTGTGCTCCAGGAGTGCTAAAGTTGGGATCTTGTAGATCCCACTCCAGAGGATCATATTTGTTTCAGAGGCTATCAGAAAAAGTAGGAGAGGTTTGGTTACTTGCTGTCAAGTGGCTGTTTACTTTTTAGATGTCAACTTTAAGCAGTTTAGTAGGCTTGAGTGAAGTCTGGGAAGCAGAATGTTGAGTATTTTTTTTTTTTGCCATTACAGAGATAATAAAAATACCGGTTTCCAATAAAAATAGTAAAAATACAATTGTCCAACAGAAAATGAATACAAGAAATGAAAATAAAATGAAATGGGGTTAAGTAAAAGCAAAAGAGCTAGTTAAAAGTTAAAAGTAGACTTAAAGCAGTGGTTCTCAACCTGTGGGTCGCGACCCCATTTGGGGTCGATCGACCATTTCACGGGGGTCGCCAAACAACGCAATCTGCCATTTTTTTGTCAGCCGGCGCAGGGGGCGCCGCCGTGCATGCACGCCACGCAGGGGGTGGTGCATGGGGCGCCGGCGCGTGCGCACCACGCAGGGGGCACCGGCGTGCATGCGCGCCGCCTGCTTATGTCCGGGGTCACTGTATAAAAAGGTTGAGAACCACTGACTTAAAGGGAGCTCTTAATAACAGATACTACCTCTAGCCATCTTTTCCATGATCATCTGACCCTACCTTCAGGTCTTCCCATGGTGCATCCATCCACCTTGCTGCTGGTCATTCTCTTTCTTTCCACTCTTCCAGCATTATATTTCTCCAGGAAACTAGGTCTTCAAACAATTTGAGCCTGCATTAAAGTAAAAATTAAAAAAAGTCCTTACTTATAACAACATAGTATGTCAGAATTCTTATTAAATCCTCAACAAAACCCTGATCAACACCTGACTTCATGATTTCTACATGTGGGACCTCTTTGTATATAAAGTCTATATAAGGATTTCTAGGGGAAGGTGGTAGACTGATGTCTATTCTTTTGTAGGAGTTCTGACTACCTGCTTTTTAATGCTTTCACTAGATATAATAATAATAATAATAACAACAACTTTATTGTCACTTTGAATGTACACCACTTGGCATACATCAAAATGAAATTTCGTTGCATACAGCTCTCAAAGGGTCACCACCTACTGTTCTAGGAAAGCCTGTGTTTGTATCTGTAGTCTTTCCCAAACTTTGGTCCCTTCAATATGTTAGGGCCTCAGTTCAGCCTGGCATTTTGGTCAGGATGAGTAATTGTGATCAGAATTGCTACAGTCAAAATTGGATCCAGCCTCCATCCTTATGACTAAAAATTTTAAAAAAATGGCTTAATATTAGACTAACTCAGTTTTTATTGCCACTCATTGTTCTCTCTCTTCTTTGAGCTGCATCAGCTACTGGATGCTTGCCATTCCCATTTTGTACTTTTTGTCATTCCATGGCATGGGGTGACTTTTTTGCATTTTCCTATTTATTAGGCCATTGACAACAGTGGATAAAAAAATTACATAATACATGCTAAATGATGGAGCCAAATTTGTAATTTTGCTCGCAGGCTTCCAATTCATAAAAATGTCCAGGGAGGACTAGAATGTGGAAATATGGAAATCGCAGTGTACCGTAAACCTTCTCTTGGATTGTCTTGAGAGCTTTTGGTGGGGTATTCAGATTTTGATAATGGAAGGACCAAAACAGAACTTCAGAAGGCCAGCAATATCTGCTATGATAGAGGGCAGAGAAAATGGCCTCCAAGGACAAAATGAAGGAAACAGTCAAATAAGCAGTCTTAAGCCTGAGCCAAGAAACTAATCTGAGAAAACATCTTCGACGAGCTTCTTCATAGTTCACAGCACCAATTCTGTTACTATAGCTGTTTACAATAAAAGTAATCCTGAGCTACATGGCATTTGTTTCTTAGTCTGGTCTAATTTGTAGAGTTGACAGCTATACAGAATTTTCCTTATTACTTCTAAAGCCAGCTCACAACAATACATCTCTGGATTATAATCAGTCTCATATCTTTCAGAGTATCCTGCTGAGAGTCGCTAACCCAGTGTTTCTCAACCTTGACAATTTTAAGGCATATGGACTTCAACTCCCAGTTGAAATCCACATGCCTTAAAATTGTCAAGGTTGAGAAACACTGCTCTAACCCCAAAGCAGTCTAATTGTGGAACAAGAAACCAAAGCTGGGAAGAGTGGGCTTTGGATGGGATATTCAAGGCAGGAGGATGAGAAAGAAAACTCTGATTATTTATTTGTTTAGTATACCAGCAATCTACAATAAATCATAAAATCCAAATTAAAGTTAGGCATCTGTAGTAAAAGATATGATTTTAGAGACTCAGTTCTTAGAAAAGTTCCCTGTGCAAATTCCTAAAATGAGTAAGTTTGATTAAATTGATCTGAACTTCATGATGGATTGGATTTTAGACCACCACATAAGGGTTTTCAGTCTCTGCACTTTACATTATGCTTTGTCCAGTATGTGCAAAAGATTTTACCAGTGTGTCCCAATTACTGTATTTATAGCCCTCTCAAAACCTGGCACATCCTGTATATGGCAAACATTGGTTGGGCTCACTGTGCCTTGCCTTTTGTTAATAAAATACTTTTTTTATCAAAACGTCGTTCCATTGTTAAAATTTAATTTATTTGCAGCTATCTTTAAACATTGTTCATATTCCCCGGAACGTCTTAACTGCTAGACGTTATGGGATTAGAGAAACATTATGAGGTTGCTGTATTTTCTTGGTTTTCTTAAAAAACAACAACCCACACTTACCCCTCAAGGGAAATTTTTACACCTTTCATTCATCCGTAGAGGCGAGTTAATTAACTTTTGGCTTTTAGTAGCATACTTCCTAATTTTCCCCCAAGCTACTCTGCGAATGATCCATGCTAGTCAGTTTTTGTTTTTGTTTTTTTTAAAGGAAATGCTAATTTGTCAGGCTTAACGTTAAGAAAGAACAACGCATTTAAGAAATGGCTGAAGTCATACTAGCCCACCCTCCCATTCAAAAATACTGCAGAATCCCGGAGCTGGGATGGACCACTATGCTACATAACAATAGGAGGAGGCTAATTTATTTCCTCACCCACAACACCTTTGCTATATCCATTTCAGCTCTACTACCCAATCCTAGCATTCGATCTTCCTATAAAATCCTTTTATCTTCAACTCTTCCTTTCTTTTTCTTGACCATTGTGGAATCAAGATATTCAGCAACTTTTACCCCCACCTCCTCCGTTCCCCCGTCTTACCCCGGAAAATGGATTCTTCCCAAGCAGGTGGACCTCATTCTATAAATGTATATAGGGTGTTGGTAGGACAAGGAAAGCCTGCAATGCAAATTAGCGTTGCTGGAGGAAAGTGAGGTGGGCAAAACGAGCATCTCTCTGACGCAGCTGATGGGCGTCTGCTTGGCTTCGCCTGTTCCTCCTCTCCCAAGGTGAACGATCCAAGGGACCGGATCCTTGGACCTGAAAAGTTAATGTTGCCTACCGAGGCAGAGGCTTTTCTGGGCTCGCCCGGAATGGAATTCTGGGTCAGCCCCGCTACTTGCGACGAAGTCAAGGAGAACAGCGACCTGAGCGGTAACGAGGAGCTCTTACCCCAGGAATTGGAGGAAGGTGAGGAGGAGGAGGAAGGGGACCAGAGCGAGGGATTCTGTTCGGCTTGGACCTTCAGCCTTCTCACGCCCTTTGCCTGTCATGAGAAAAGCTTCTGCCGATCTGTACCTTTTTGTTTTTCTAACTGTATCTCTTGACAAAAGTTCAGTGCTTGGAAGGTGGATTTAGACTCTAGAGCAGGGGTTCTCAACCTTGGCCACTTTAAGACTTGTGGACTTCAACTTGTGGAAGTCCACAAGTCTTAAAGTGGCCAAGGTTGAGAACCCCTGCTCTAGACTGGTGTTTTTCAATCTCGGTAACTTTAAAGTCTATGGAATTCAGCTCCCAGAACTTCCAGCAAGCAAATTTAAGATTTGTAGATGGCAGCTTTCACAATTCTCTAGTCAGTATGCTGTCTGGGGAACTCTGGGAAATGACATCCATACATCCTAAAATTGCTGCAGTCTGAAAAACTGTTCTAGAAATTTTCCTTTCAGTAAAGTTATTCAAGTGTATCAGAATTTCCATCATCCCCAGCCTGCAATATGTCTAGTCTTGGGGCCAGTCCACATCTGTTGGTGAAATGCTATGAATGGTCCAGAAAAAAAGGTAGGTGTGAGCTAAAACAAAACCCAGTTTGTTCTTCATAACCAAGTTGCAGAACAAACTCTAGATGAAGCTGCCTGCCTGCCTGCCTATCTTCCTTTATAGGAGATTGCCAGCTTGTTTCCCTTGGATTTGCCCTTCTAGTTTTGATTGCCCAATGTGTATAGATCTGCAGATTGCTACTTTCCCTATCAGTTTACTTCCAAAATGTTAATATTTTGTTTTTGTTTGCCATGGACATAATTTTAAAAAATCAACCTGTTTAGTTGAAAAATCTAACTCCCAACTCTGTTGCTTTAACCAAATCTGCATAAGATTGGTTAGAGATGGTGAGAATTGTAGTTAAAAAAATTAGGAAAGTGATGTTTGTTACTGTTTCTTTCCCTCTGTTTGAAGCTACTTATCAGAATCTTATAAGTCCTATTTCAACAGGTGCAGGGAAGAAACAACCTCAGATTCCCATCTCTTGACTGTTTCATTCAAATTCTATGAACCTCCTGTTTTCAAACTGTTTTTTTAATCTTTCAAAATAAAATGGGAAATAATGATATTGGAAATAAGCCCAAGATCTTAAAAATTAGATTAGTAGGCATGTGTGTGAGAAGGAGATCATTTTAATGTTACTGACAGCAAGTACAATGTAGAGTAATAGGGCAGGTTCTAATCATTTCAGTTGGAAAAGATATTAGAGAAAGCTGAGTAATAAATACAGTAAACTTCCTTGGCAATTATTGGAGGAATTCTCCTAGACAAAAGGAAGAGGGGATGTAATGTCGTTTTTTTCATATGTGCTCATCTAACTTGAGAGCAGATGGAAACACAGAAATCATTAAAATGTGCAAAAGCTAATCTTGTACAAAATTCCCTCTAACTTAAGTGCAATCAAGGTTGAAGCACATTTTTCATTTTCCTTTAAATTTGAATGGTTTTTCTTCCAATTTGGACCATTTTAAAGGTTGAGATTTATGTGTGACCCCCAGTGATGTTTGCAATGAATCTACAATGTGCATTATATGTGCATTATATAAATTGGCTGCCTGCAGTTTTTCTTTTTCAATGTGGGTTGTTGTTGAGGTTTTTTTTTGCTTTTGCTGTGTATTATGAAGCTTTTAGTTCATAGGAATGAATCCATATATTAAACTTTTGGTTATTTACCATAGTATTAGTTGCTCCTAGATGTTTCTCTGCTTCTTTATGATAACAGGCAATACAACTAAAAGCTCCAATGACTTTCCAACTAAAATGGTTCATTGATACATTTATTACGTGGTGATATTTTGGCCTTTGAATGCTGACCATCCTCCTGCAGGCTGTACTGTATGTTCTATGATCCTTTAAGAAAGTAGAGTATAACCTTTCCATTTTAAGAAATACTCCACAAGGTACTTGACTTCCTAACTATTATGCAGCCCCTGAAGTGGTCATCTATTCATATGTGGAATAAAGCTCCATTGATTCCGCTATGGGGCTTGAGGATAATCTGGTAGGTTAAGGTCTACCGAGCAAAGTGGAACTATCTTACAAATAAACCCAGAGATGATACTATCTCCTAGCAAGCTTTTCCTTCTATTTACTATTTTACTATTTTACTCACCTACGGAGTAAAAGAGGGAAATTATAGCTGCTCACCTGGTTGCTTCTCTCAAGGTTCTTTCTTGTTAAGCAGGTTATTGCAATGTTCTTTTACCATCAAAGCAGAAATCTTGTATAGTTATCTTAATTTTGTTAAACTATCATATCAAAGTTATAATTGAATGTTTTTGTTATCTGGCCTTAATCATAGGTTATTAGAATGGCTTTAAAAATGATTACTTTTGTTTGTGGGGAGCTGTTTTAGTTATTCCTGTAGTAAAAAAATGCAAAAATACTATAGATTTAATATTTTACTTTTCATGGGGATATCTAATAAGGTATCATAAGGTCTAATAATGCCTTTGGTAACATGGCTTATGGCCTTAGTGGTTGGAGGTGATAGGAAATTTAGATCAGCACATCTGGAGAACAATGCATTCGGAAGGCTAATCAGAAATGTCCACCAAACCTTAAGTCAACGTCCCATCTTCTGTAGCTTTTTTTCCTCTTAGTCCAAACTTTTATGTCCAAGAAACCTGATGCTGCTTAATAGGCTAAGATTTGGGTTAACTGACTATAAAAAGTGTACTTTTGTACTTTCTGAGAGATTCCCTTATCTCATTTGCAGCGAATGTAATCTAAGAGTAAAGAATTTTAAAAGTTCATTCTTCTGAAGAATCCGTGAACTATTCATGAATTGTTATGATAAACTCATTTGAGAAAGATTCAATAGCTTTACTGCTATAAAATACAGGGACATAGAGTCATTTTTCTCCCAGGTCACCATGAATTTGAACTAAAGATGCTTTGCTTTGGTTTGTCCTACCATCTTGGGGCCTTCTAGTCCAGACAAGAAACACACTGAGGAGTTCCAACTCTTTATTATAAGATCACATTAAAAAAAAAATCTTAAAAAATATAAAAGTACATATCTTCCCCTCAACTTTATAGTCCAAGAAACTAAGAAGTTTGCCATATGACCATTCCTTTTGTGGGCTCAGCTGCCTCTTGTCTGACCTTTGTCTAGTTTGTGACTCTTCTGTTTCTCAAAGCCATTCTCACATACTGTTACATCCTGTTGCATGTTACATGTTTTGGGTGAAATATAGGTAGTCCTCAACTTATGACAATTGAGCCCAAATTTTTATTGCTAAGCGAGACAGTTGTTAAGTGAATTTTTTGCCTAATTTTATGATTTTTGTTGCCACCGTTGTTAAGTGAATCTGGTTTCCCCAATGACTTTGCTTGTCAGAAGGTTGCAAAAGGTGATCACATGATCCTGGGACACTGCAGCCTTCATAAATGTGAGTCACTTGACAAGTGTCTGAATATTGACCACATGATTACAGGGATGCTACAACAGTTGTAAGTGTGAAGAAGAGTTATATTTTTTCAGTGCTGTTGTAATTTTGAACAGACACTAAATGACCTGTTGTAAATTGAGGACTACCTGAAATGTCAACTTTTGGGTATTGCTTTTTTGGTGAAGTTTTGAGAAGGAATGCTAAATGCCTAATTCTGTCCTGAAACATGACTTCATTTTACAGATTTAAGGTTTCAACTAAAGATACATTTCTCCCTAAGTTGAGAGAGCAATGTTGTCCAGGGATGGAACATTTTACAAAATGGTGTTCCTTGATTTGTGAGATCATGCCTCTTTTATTGCCAAATAACAGGAATCCCAAGGATTACTTAAAGCAGCCTTCCCCAACCTAGTACTCTTGGTATGTGGTGAGATTTATCATGCTGGCTAGAAATTCTAAGAGTTTCCAACAGAAAGAATACTTGTTTGGGGAAGTTTGGTATATAGTAAATCAAAGTTCCCATGGCTTAGGTTTCCTGTGGACCTCTACTCCCAAATTTCTGAGCAATATTCAAACTGGCTGAGGAATTCTGGGAGGTTGGTCCATACTCTTTGGCCAGATACAGCAAGGCCATAATAAATTATCTGCTTATTTTGTTATTGAAATAGCATGATCTGAAACTATGTAAAATGAGCAGCATATATTAACAGCATGTAAACTACCGGTATCTTCTTCCATGAGAATGGAGCAGGAAAGTAAGGAATTAAAAGCATATTTATAACCTGTTTCTATAGACTTTTGATGTAGCATTTTCACTGAATTCAGTGTGACTCCTGTCCATAGTATTTATTTATCCTTAGTCTCAATTACCCAATGCTATAGAAAAAGGACAAGAAACACCCTATAAAGTAGTTATTAATTTGCAAGACATTGAGACAGAAACATTGATTTAATTAATCTAGCAATCACCACCACCACCACCACCATTTTTATTTCCAGACTGAACTTATGGCCTTGTCTGAATTAGAAAAGATTGAACTGCCTCCCTTGTTCTGAACTTCTGGGGCAGAGACAAAGAGAACAATAGGAGCGTTCCCATGTTAGACAGATGCTATGCATGGAATAGCCAGGCAAAGAAAGCCTTTAAAATTTGCATAGCTGCTTTGTTTATCTATACTTTGCTGGAAAACTTTCATGCTCTAATTATTTCCAATTGTGGCTCCTTTGGATGCTGGTATGCCATATAGATCCCCTATGGAGCGAGGGGGAGGTCCATACACACACAAGCTGGGGGAGTGTCATGATGTCTCTGTATAGCAAGATTGTGCCAATCAGCATGCAAGCAGAAAGGGAAGAAGGATTAGCTGGTTTGTTAGAATAGCAAGTGGACAGATAGGACAGGATGTTCTCTAGGATTGGAAATCATAACCACTTTACTTGGCTCTGCATCCACCTCCGGGAACAGCATAATAAGATTGAATGTCATTATTGCTCTATTAATCCACTTACTGTTCATCAAATAAGGAACATTTTTATTTTGCTATATTAATAAACTGCTATCAATTACCGTAAGCATCTAGGTAGCAAACAGCAAAGCAAAATGGACATAATAATAGATGAGAACATCAATGCAATACCATCCAGATGAATGGCTATAATTGAGCTGAATGAACATTGGAATACTATAGTTTTAACTGCCTTGCAGAATGAAAGGAGGAAACTCCCTCCAGGAGGAACTGGGTCAGAGCACAGGAGCTACAGTGAGTAAGGTCTGCTGCTCAGCCCACCCTCCATGCAGTTTTCATGGGGAAAGAGTCTCCATAGGATGTGTCTAGCAGTTTAGACTCTGTAATAGAGGGAAATTAAGTTCTGGTAGGATTACATCCTGTCCTATCTGTAATCCAGTGCTGTACCCTAATGGGCTTATTTACCTTTAAGAAGCAGATTTATGTCTACAGATAATAAGCTATCCTTTCTAATCTATTAACCAGCCCTGGATTTGGCCATGGGGAGGGGAGATCTTATTTAGGTTATAGCTAAATAGGTAAATCCCAAGAGCCTTGGCTCTGTGATATTTCCTGACTTGAAGGGTATTCCACGTGAAAACTGAAGTTTCAGGTCATTTTTTTTCCAGAATATCAATGCCAGAATTGAGCATTTGAAAGGACCATATGTCAGTCTTAGAAAATTCTGCTTGAACATGTTGAAGAATTAGACAAACCTTTTCAGCCCAGGCTAATGGCAATGTTGTTGCTTTTTTTTAAAGGCTAAAATAAACTGAAACGTAGAGATTATTAGATTATTGCTTATGTTTAGTCCATAGCTTCTTCAGGTATTACCAGGAAAGATTTCTGTTTGGAGAAATGATGCCAACCTATGCCATTAATAGTGAATGAGATGAACCAAAAGTTTGATTTTAAAGTTGTGCTTACCACACGTCCAACATAGATTTGCAAATGAGCCAAATAACCATGGTTTCTTCTTCCAATTCTTGATTTGTTTTCTCTTTCTTCTGCCAATATCTGTTAGAAATATGGAGAATGCAAAAGCCTTAATAGTATTTTGACTCAGAACTATAGAAATAAGCCGTTTTACAGGGAGTCAGAATTTGCAAACCAAATTGTAGATTGTAGCCCCAAAAATTCTTTCTTGGGATGGATTCATACATCAAATCGTCACTATGGCTTAGTATAAATGCATAAAAGCTTCCCAATATTTCTAGCTTCTAAATAAAGTTCATATATGAAACCAATAAAAGAGACTAAAATGTGCATCTCTCTCTGTGTGTATCTATATATCTCTATTTGTATCACCTTTCCAAGAGCCTATTTTATGAGAATTTGTGTTGAGATTTCAACTTGCTAATAAATTGAATATTATTAAAAATTGGCTTGATTTTGGACATTTGTAATACAGATATGGGGTTCCTTCAACATTTTAGAAACCACCAGGGAGTTCCTATTGCCTTTGATAATGTTGAAATATTAGTTGAATTGTACCTACACCTCATTAAATTACCTCCGTTTCTCCTACAGAGTCAAATCTGTTCCTGCATTAAGGAGCTTTGAATGCCCTGCTGGAGGTGGAGGGGGGGGGAGGGAGATAATTTATGAGCATTTAATTGAATCTGACAATTGTCCTTGGAGGATAAATGACAGAGATGACATGGCATAGCTTTCTGTGCCTTTCCCCAAATGTGTTTTTCAAACCTATCTTATTTTGGTTGTGTTTTTCCATTCTTTCTTTTCCAGCTTGAGGCAAAGTGTCTTTTGCCTGGGCAGATATGCTTATTCAGCAGAGTAAAGCAAAATTTATGTTTGCCAGGAAATTATTTAATAGATCAGTTACTCCCACAGTAAACATTTTTAAATCTGGGACTAGAAATACCTTGGGTTATTTTTTTAATATTTAAATCTGTTAAAATACTGTATTTTGACTGGAAATATAAGTATAATCCTGGATACCAATTTTATAGTATTTATAATATAAACATAGTATTGAATGCCAAGTAATAATAGTTGAACTGAATTAACATTCTACTAGATGGCACTGCAAAGATGCAAACACAATATTGCAAGTTATGTAAAAGGCCTTCAGAATTTCTCATCTGCAAAATCTAAACGACCCATTTAGTGTGAATCATTCTGAGTTTAGCATTGCATCCATTGTATTTTTTCCAATGAAACATAATTGACTATGTTAACATAGCACACTAAGCCATAGCTTATGGTTTACAAATTACAGTGGCTGGGCTTATGTAGCATAGTGAACCATTAAGACTTAACGTGTGAATTGACCAATGTACGATTGTTCCATGCAACCACAGTGCTAAAACTTTTTTACACTTTTTCAGAACTTGGAACCCGTTAATTAAAATGATCAAGGGGCAAAGCTATAGTGATAGAAAATTGTCATGGATTTTTTTTTCTCCTTAGTTTCTTGTTGAACCCTATACTTTGTGGACCACAGTTTAGGAAAAAAAAAATACTGAACTCCAGCGAGAATTAAACTTAGCATTCTAAGAATTTCTATTTTTGTTTTCTTAATTGTTTTTTTAACAAATATTTACCTATTATGATATAGATATGAAATGTGCTAAGTGCTTACTGATATTCCAATTGATTAATTTACTATATACAATGCAGATGAATTCAAATTCTCTTATTACAATTTGAAATTTGCTTCGGTCAGGCTCCAAAAACTGAGTAATACATGCATATTTCTAAGCAGGTTCCTTTATTGTTTCTTATTTATAGACATAAATCTTGCTGAACTAAAGCAACTACTTGTATCATTAAAGATACACTCTGATTTTTTTAAAAAAACTTTAAAAATAAAACAGAAAGCTTGCATACTGTGAAACTGAGTACTACTGTCCAACACCTTTAAAAGCCTGATTTAAATTTACTTAGGAAATGAAAATGGTATATGGTTGTAGTCCAGTGCTTTGTGTAGAAGTTGCCACTTCCTATCAACCTCCCTTACCAAGCAAAAATAACCGCAATATCATCATAGGAAGTCAAGAGAAGTCTACAAAGCAAGCTCACCAGTTTCCTTCTCAATAAATGGGACTCCTCTGGTTGCCCATGCTCACCGTGGCATCCATTTCTAAATGCTCAAGCCATGATGTGAAACATGCATAGTTGGCTCTCAATCTACATTCCAAAGTGCCTGTGCCTGTGACGTGTACCATGTTCAGTTCTCCTTTTCTTTGTTTCTCCATAGTAATGTGTTCTGAGCGAATTGAGAAGATCACCAAAACATACCATGATATAGATGCGGTCACCACTTTGCTGGAAGAGGTATCTTTCACCAATTGTTCTTTCAGAATCTTAAGTTAAAACATTGTGCAGCATGGTAGAGTGTTACCAAGCTCATGGTGGTTTTGGGCTTTCCTAGCCCTGATCCTTGTGGCTGTTAATTATGGCATGGGCAGGAAAAATTCCACAAGGAAGGTCTTGATTTAGGATGGATGTGGAAGGCGCAAAGAGGAGAAGAAATTGATTTACGAGTGGCAGGCATCGAAAGACCTAAAATTGCTGAGAAAGTGATAATGATAGAAACCAAAGCAGGTAGCATGTGTGATGAGATGGAAGCCTATTAGGTGAAACTCTGCTCTCCTGTCTTCCCTGTCCTCACAGAAGGAACACGATTTGGAGTTAGCAGCCCGCATTGGGCAATCGTTGCTCAAACAAAATCGGAGTTTGTCTGAACGCAATGAATTTTTGGACGAACAGCTAGAATTAGCAAAAGAAGAGGTAAGGAAGATGTCTTTTCTGCATTTATATAGAGAAGAAATAAATAAGACAGATCTTGGGTTTGTTTTTTAAAAAGACATTTGGAGAATCAAGTCAGTAGTTATTTGAGGCTGATTCAGATTCTGAGATGTCCACAGTAGCTGAATGATGGTTTAAGGTTTTATAGCTCTCTGTCTTGTTGTTTATATCTCATTCCACCGTTTCCCTAGAATCTGGGCAGCCTGTTGACTTCTCACTCTCACTATCTCCAATTATCTTTACAATAGCTTGTATATGATTTAAAGTGAGAAAGCAGCTGGCTAAAGTCACCTGGTTGGTTTCACAGTCAGTAAGGATTTGAATTTGGGTCTTCTAAGCCCCGAGTCCAGTGTTCAAAATTAGCCATTTCCAACCTGCTGCTCACCCAATGTATGGCTAGAAATTCTTAAAATTGGAGTTCCACCACATTTGAGCTGCTCCACTTAGGGAAAGGTAGGATTATATGGTGTTGGACTGGCACTGGGAAGATCCAATCCATCCTCATCTGTGGAAGCTTCTCTCAGTCCAATCTGCCTTGCAAGTACTGTGGTATTGTGGGAAAATTGGGAAAAGGAGGGATGTGCTGTATCAATTTGTGTTCCTGAACAAAAGGTGGAATATAGATTTAATAAGTAAATGTATGCCATGTTTAGGAGTGGTGCAAGATATGCATTCCCGAGTGTGCCAGAGTACAGATAGTCCTTGCTTTACAACCATTCATTTACCGACCATTCAAAGTTTCAACAGCACTGAAAAAAGCTGACTTATGACCAGTCCTTGCGCTTAGACTGTTGCAGCATCCCCAAGGTCACATGATCAGAATTTGGGCACTTGGCAACTGGCATGCATTTGCAACAGCTGCAGCATCCTGTGGTCATCGATCTCTCTTTGCCATCTCCCCAACAGGCAAAGTCAACAGGAGAAACTGGATTCACTTAGCAGCTGCATGGTTCACTTAATTGCTAAATCCTGGCCAAAAAAAAAAAAAAAGATTGTAAAACTGGAGACAATTAATTTAACAAATTCTGGTCCTAGTTGTGGTCAAAAATATATATTTTTCCTGTGATTAAACAAATAAAAATATTTATCTGAACTTTTTGTGCTTCTCACACCCAGATAGCTCAGCTGAGACATGAAATATCAATGCGGGATGATCTTCTCCGCATGTTTACCAACAGCACTGAAGACAGTGAGCCAACTTCCATCATTTCTACTCCGTGAGTATTTAGGCAAGGCTGTAAGGTGTCCCCTCTCTCAGACATATCCCTTGCAGAGAAATATCAGTGGGAAATGGTGGGAGGAGGGGTGGATGGGACATAAAGTAATTCTCCAGTTCGTTTAGGATACCACAATTTGTACAAAATAATCACATTTTGATTAAATGTGATATTTGAAATGAAGTGAGTGATATTTTTTCTGCATGTAACCATGGAGAGAGTGGCAAGAAATGCCACATCAAGTACAAAGAAATAAAAATACTTGTCTTAATAGTAAGTTTATTGTTGTAACCATAGATCATGACATATAATGTACCACAAAACAGAATAAGCTAATATTAAAAACAGTATTAGATGTAAAAAGGTTACAGCAATATAAAAGCAAAGCTACAACTTAAGAACATACAGTAAGTATTTCTAAATGTAAATAACAGCAGAGCGAAAGTAGAACTTAATTGCTCACAGTTTCGGACACGTCTTTGGTATTATTGGAATGCTTTGTGTAGAAACCTGTATTACTGGAATGCTTTGTGTGTTTCACAATGCACAAGGCAGCTTTCATCCACCTGTTCACTTCAGGTGTACATTGACTTCAACAATCATTTTCTGCTAGCTTGCTGCAAATGAAGGAAATTGTTCTGTCAAATACTTCTCATCCTCTCCCTACACACACACACACACAAACACACACACAAACACACACACACACACCTGATTGGGTCCCTTGGACCACAACAATTAACTGTTACTGAAATTAAATATTGCCCAATTGCAATGTCAGTGTCAGAATGTAAACATGCATTTTGCATGGCGGTTTCAGCTGAAGGAAAGAGGCAGAAAAGAGTTGTCCAAGCATCACTTCCTACCTCTATCCCCCACCTTTTCTCTCGTTTTGTCTGGGGATTAAGCAGTTGTTGTATCTGTCTGAGGCAGAAACTGTCAACACTGTCAACTTCTCACTTAGCTGTAATGTGATTATAGGTAATCCTTCGCTTATGTCCATTTAATGACAATTTGAAGTTACAATGGCCTCGGAAAAAAGTATGTCCTGTCAAAGTGAGGAGTACTTTGTCACACTATTGCAATTTGGGTGTTTGGCAGTCGGTTCTTACTTTGACAGTTGCAGTGTCTTGTAGTCATATGTTTGTGACGTTCACAGTTGGCTTCTGACAAGCAAAGACAATGGAGGAAGCTGGATCTAGTTTTAATGGCCACATGATTTGCTTAGCGACCACAGTAAAAATGATTGTAAAATTAGATTCCACTCATGTTATTTTTAATAACCACCTCATTTAGCGACCAAATTTTGATCACTGATTTGTCAGGATGTATGGACCCAAATATTATGCTATAAATCCAAGATTTATATGTGAATCAAGTTACTGTGGTTATTTAACAACCATCTTTAATACAAACCCTGTATAAACTAATAGTCCCTGACTGTCAATAGGTCTCTAACTTTTTTAGCAGGTGATTCTGTAGTCCTGTGAAGTGACTAAATCTTGAACCTTCTGTGTGTAAAGCTCTGTAATGGAGCTATGGCTCCACCTCCCTTCTCTGCTCATTGTCCCACTTTTTCTCCAATAGGTTACGAAGGGTTGATTCTTCCCTCTCTCTGCAGCAGTGTTTGCAATATGACCTTCTTCAGCAAAAACTTAAAGGATTGGAAGAGGAGAACCAAAAACTGCGTACTGAAGTAAGACTCGGCTGCCGTGTGTGTGTGTGTGTGTGTGTGTGTGTGTGTGTGTGTGTGTCTGTGTCTGTGTCTGTGTGAGGTTTGCTGTAAGATGAACTGTTTTATTTCTAGTGTACGTTTTAAAATAGCTATTCTCATACATTAAAGAAGCTGACCTGTATGGACTTGATAATAAATTAGATTTGGTTTCAAATGGCTGGATCCCAGCAACAGCATAAAACTGAATTGCAAAGTTTTTAATAGCTTGGAATCCACAAATACTTTTATTAAAATCAACCAAAGTGTGCAAGTTTTCACATCACTAGAATTCTCTCACTAGATGCAGATTTCTGGAAAATTCAATCTTGCACATTCTAATTGTATATACAGTGCCACAAGTCTTCACATTTTCCCCAAACCCAGCCCCTGGAACTTCAGTCAAATCTAAGCCAAGTATCTTGTTCTATAATTTGGGGAAATCTTCAAAAAGAATTTGCCCTAGCCTCCTATTTATTACAATATCCAATTTTGGAGGGTTTTTATCTTAGGCTCTCAGCAGTACTCTTCAAACGCTGTAAGAATATGTGGAATCCCTGATGCTCTCTGACCATCATTGTTTGCTGGCAGATGTTTTCTTACTCAACTAGGTAACTCCATCAGTTCTTTTCTATTGGAACTATAAGAATATTCTAGTGAACCAGTCTTATGGCAGCGTGGGGATGGGTCAATAGAGTCTTTGAGCCATATGGTCCCATAATCTCCTTTACGGGGATTCTAGGATGACTCTCATTTACCCCATTCTGAAGACATTTCCAGGCAAAGAACAGAACTTCTTTTAAAAAAAAATTTTTTTTATTTTTCACCATACACCATACACCCAAACAAACTTAAAATACATAAACATAAATCTTTTCTTTTAACAGAACAGTACCATACATTTTAAGCATTCTTTACATCTTATTTACATTTTATGTACATCAATAATTATGTCTTTTCCTTTCTCTGTTCTAGCCAATTATAACATTTATTCCAAATTTCATAAAATTCTGTCGCCTCCTTGTCTTTTAATTCTAACGTAAGTTTGTTCATTTCTGCGCATTCCAAGATTTTGTACATAATCATCATTTGTGGGAATATTTTCATTTTTCCAACATTGAGCGTATGTTATACGAGCTGCAGTCAATATGTGTATAATGATACGTTGGAGTTGTTTTTCCATCTTTAAATTTATTATGCCCAAAAGAAATAATTCTAGTTTAAAATCCATTTGTATCTCTGTTATCTCCTGTATCCAATCTCTTATTCGTTCCCAATAATTTTTTGCTTTGGGGCACAGCCACCACATGTGATAAAATGTTCCTTCTCTGATTTTACATTTCCAGCACTTTGGGTCTATATTTTTATACATTTTAGCCAATCTCGCCAGTGTTAAATGCCATCTGTAAATCATTTTATATTGATTCTCTCTGTATGCAGTTGATAGCGTCAATTTGCAATTTATGTTCCATAATCTTTCCCATTCCTCTAAATTTATATTTCGCCCCACATTTCGTGCCCACGCTATCATTGGCCCCTTCACTATTTCTTCCTCTAACTCTACCTCTAATAAGTATTTATAAATTTTTGATAATAGTTTTCCTTCCTTACTTATTAGAATTTTATCAAGTTGGTGTGGGGTCTGACTAATTCCATGTTCTTGCCTATCCCTATTATATTATATTATAAAGAACAGAACTTCTATTTGTTGTTCCTATTTGTATTTCTTCTCAGGTTGTTTGTGTTTGCCTCTATATGTGCTATTTAATAATAATAATAATAAAGTTGGAAGGGACCTTGGAGGTCATCTAGTCCAACCCGTGTTCATGCAGGAAACTCTATACCATTTCAGACAAATGGCTGTCCAATCCCTTTGTAGTTAAAGATTCTAATTTTCATTTATTTACATGTATTTTGTGTTGTTCATTGTTGTGCTTTTATCTCTCTACTTTTATATTCCATTCTTATACCTTGTTACAGATCTTATATTTACTACATGTTATTTGATATACATGTATATTTATACTTATTTCTTAAGTTTTGCATCACTATTTTTGGGCTTTATGGCTGTAATAAAGGATTTTATTTTCCCCAAATATTGTACCAATAGTCTCAAATGGTAAATCTCTTTCTTTCCATCTCAGGCTACAAACATTGCCACACAAACATATGAATATGAAGACCAGGAACAGAAGCTCATGCTTGATTGTGTGGAACAATTTTGTAAGTTTTTTCTGGAGAGAAAGGCTGAGGTGGAGGGAAAATAGGAGCAATCTATCAATAGCTTTAAAGTTCTTCATGTTCTCATATAAAGGATACAGTGGAAGATGAAATTAATTATAATTGACTTTATGTTCTGCCTATCTCCTGAGGCTCAGCTTTGTGCTTTGAAGTGAAAGAAAGATTTCATTTATCTTTCAAATTGATTAATTCTTCTACACATTTCCATCTTGTTTGCATGTGGATGTGCTGCCAGGGGATATTCATTGTGTTAATCCAATGTGTTTGGTAGGAGTTAGGTTGGGGAAAGTTGACACAAACCTATCCATGAGCAGTTTTGGCTATGCCTGATGTATTTACAGTAAAATTATCTACAGCATATTATCTCCCTACTGATATATGTGTGCCCGCATAAATACATATATGCCTTAGTGCAGAGGTGTCAAACTGCCTGCCTGCGGACCGGACGCATCATCCAGAAGCTGCAGCCACCTCATTGCCGGCAATGGCAAAAGCGTCTCGATATGTTGTGCGACGTCACGTAACATCGCGAGTTTGACATGTCTGCCTTAGCGGATGATTGTATCTAGTCAATCTTGCTGGACTTAGAAACTAAGCGAACCTATTCTATATAACTGTTACTATAATGCCATTGTCTGAATTTAACTGTGGCTACATTGGTGCCAACTTTACACGTTTAGTAAAAGGTTTCAAGGTCAGCATGAATGCCAATTGCCTCCTGTGTATTTAAAGTGTTTTTCCCAGTGTAATAATACGTTATAATTACATGCACTTACAGCATAGAATTAACCATTAGACAAGTGAAAATGAGCTTAATCTGTATTCTCCCAACAGTCTGTATGCTTGAAAGGTGACGAAGGTAGAGCATAAAATATGGGGCGGAAGAAAATAAATGTCATCCATTGCTGTGCAATGCAGAATGTTGTTCTGCAGCTCTGTATTCCAAATAATAATAATCTATCTCCTCTCCTTCAGCGGATACCAGCCAGCAAGTTATCCTGATTTCTGAGGAGCTGGCTCTCAAAACAGAGGATTCAATCCGGCAACAGGAGGAGATTAGTCAGCTTCTAGCACAGATTGTAGAGCAACAGCAGAAGTGCCGTGCGGTAAGCAGAGGAACTGAGTAAATTTGGCCAGCTTTTGTTCTTTATTTCTTTATTTGATTGATTTGATTTATATAATGTCCCATCTTGCATACAAGATTCTGGAGAGTTTATAGTGATTATAAATAAAGCTAAAAAGAGAATGCAGTCTAAAAATCATATAAAGCCATATTAACACTATATAACTTAATCAGTAGTGGAGGTATAAAAACAATTGACAACAGTCAACATAGTTAATGTACAGGCTCTGCTGTACACTTAGATCCAGAAACCCAGTGACACGGTTATTTTGGGATGCAATGCCCTCTAGCGGTGTCCTAAGGGAAGGAGTTGAAACAGTTTATGTCAATACTTGGGAATAATCATACATTTTGTTTATATTGTCTGTTATGTGCATGTGGTGGTGATGGGTTTTTTTTGTATCTTAAATAATTCATTATAGCACCCAAATTACTCATCTGAAAAAAAACCCACATACCCTTAGTGGTATAAACCAGGTCATTGATTTTTTTCCCCTCTTTCCTTTCTCCTCCAGTATTGTTCTGAAGTGGAGCAATTGCAACAGCAACTCACTGCAGCCAAAGAAATCCAATCTCAGCTTTGCAGAGAGGTAGGTCCCTCAAGCAGCAAAGTGGGGAGAGAGTGGTAGCATGGAAAAGATGGCTAGGAGTGCTGAGCTTTTTTTATAAATTAACCCAAAGGGCTTTATGGCAATATGTTATGGTTTTCTGTACAAAGAGTGCAGCCTTTAATGGAGGTGTGTGAGTATGTGTGTGTGTGTGAGAGAGAGAGAGGGAGGGAGGGAGAGAGAGAAAGAGAGAGGGAGAGAGAGAGAGAGTCACGGTAGAGTTGATTGAGTGATTTTGGGAGCCACATTTTAAGCAGTGCCAGGATTAAACAGGTAGCTGGGACAAAACAGAACTATGATTTAAAATTATATTAATATGTAATTTCATCATTTTCCCACTTCTGCCCATACTAGAAGTTATATCTGTCTTATTTAAATTGGAAGAAACTTCTGAAGGAAGAAAGCCAGCCTATACAAACGTATATCCAAATGCCATGAAGTATATATACACAAAACAAATTATTCTGGTAATAATTGTTTATAAGATATGCTAAGATGCCTTGGTTAGATATCTCGTTTATATAGTCACCTAGTTTTCAACCTGAACAAAAAGGGAAAAAAATAATTGATGTTACTCCCTACTATAGCAAAAATGTCAGGAAATAATTGATAACTCAGGTGACATCTGGAAATGATGACTCAGCTTTAACCACCCATATTACATCCCCCTTAGCAGGCAAGCAGTGCTCCATTCCTACATGATTTTGGCTCACAAAATGGTTTGAAATAGCTCTGAGGGGGAACCCTTTGCTTTTAGTTAGTGTTTCCTCTTATCCGTTTGGCTTGGCCCCATTAAATGTGATGTTCCTGACTTTTTGTTCTGTTCTGTGATATCCTTTCAGCTCCAGGATTCACAGGAGAAATACACAGAATGTCAAGCAATGTTGCATGAAGCTCAGGAGGACATTAAAAATCTTCGCAACCGCAGTTTGCCCAACAGCACCATCCACCACAGTTCCCCCACCTTCTTACCTCTGGTAAGGATAGATAATGCATATATATAGGATAAGAGACTATGTGCATACATATGTGTATTTGTGTGTGTATGTGCGTGTGGGTATATAAATGTAGGGTATATGATGCATATATAGTAGGAAAGGAGAACACACACAAACACACATACACACACAAACATAAATAAGATATATATGTAATGTAGAGCCAGTTCGTTGTACAGTATCAAGCAGCAGGTTAGAGACTGTGAATTCTAGTTCTTTCCTAGGCATGGAACCAGCTGGGCAATCTTGAGCCAGTCACTCTCTCTCAACTCTAGGATGGAGGCAATGGTGAGCCACTTCTGAAATTTTTCCAAGAAGAACGCGGGGATTTGTCCTGGAAGCTGCCACAAGTCAACACTGACTTGAAGGCACAAACAAAACAAACTGAAAATGTTCCCTGTATATATAAATATCAATATATAAACTTGGTTGGATGAAACTCATGATTGGAATGTACTGTAGAAGGATACACACTATTCAAAAAGAAACAGATCTAACAAAAAAGGAGGTGGACAAAACCAAGGATGAAAGCCTGCTAGAATGCACACAGGTCAACATAAAAGGAAAAAAGAATGACATTATTATAGGTATATATTATAGGCCACCCAACCAGCAAAAGAAATAGATGAACTTTTTGCTAAACAATTAACAAATATATGTAGGAAATACATTACAGTAGTAATAGGGAATTTTAATTTCACAGACATCAATTTGGAGACACTCACCAACAAATGGAAAATCATACAGGTTCCTGATCAATCTAGCTGACAACTTTGTTATTCAAAAGGTAGAGGCGGCAACTAGAGGGTCAGTCACACTGAACCTTATTTTTACTAACAGAGAAGAAATGATAGAGGGGATTGAAATTTGGGGAAGAATGACTATGTTATATTAGAATTCAAAATAAAACAGACACAAGCAACAGAACATAATCAAATCAGAGACTTTAAAAAAGCTGATTTTAACAAACTCAGAGAAAGCTTGGGAAGGATTCCATGGATGAAAATCTTAAAGGGAAAATCAACTCAAGAAGCTTGGGAAACTTTGAAAAATATGGTCATAAAAGCCCAGTCCAGTTCAATACCATTGAAAAAGAAAAACAAGAAATACAAGAAAAAGCCAGCATGGTTGCATAAAAAACTGTCTGACCAAATGAAAGAAAAAAAATGATAAATATAAAAAATGGAAAGAAGGACATGTAACTAACAAATAGCCTAAACTTCAGAGATGAAGTTAGGAAAGACAAGGCTCAGAATTAGATAAAACTGGCAACAAATGTCAAAAACAATTCTAAAAAAGTTTCTTTCAACACATAAAATACAAGCAAAAAGTCAAAGAAACAATCAGTTCACCATGGAAGTAGATGGCAAGGAAGTAACAGGCAGTAGAGAGAAAGCAGAATTGCTTAATTCATTCTTTGCATCTGTCTTCATGCAAAAAAAAAAAAAATACAATTCAAAAGCCGAACTGTAAAAGACAGGCTAAGAATGCAAATTAAAATAAGCAAAAATAAAGTAAGAAAACACCTGGCAACTCTAGATGGGTTCAAATTACCAGATCCTGAAAGATTACATCCCAGAGTTCTGAAAGAACTGGCAGCTGTAATCTTTGAACCATTGAACCACATCTTTCAAAGTTCTTTCAGATCAGAGAACTACCTGGGGACTGGAAAAGAGCTGATGTAGTTCCTATCTTCAGAAAAGGGAAAAAAAATCAGATCCAGGAAATTACAGACAAATCTGTCTGACAGTAACACCTGGGGAAGATCTTGGAAAAGATAATCAAGCAACAAATTTGCGAACATCTAGAAGCAAATAAAGTTATAACCAGTAGCCAATATGGGTTCGTCAAAAATAGATCATGCCAAACAAATTTTATTTTATTCTTTGACAAAGTGATTAGTGGATCAGCAAATGCTGTGGACATAATATACTTAGATTTTAATAAGACATTTGACAAAGTAGATTACAACCTACAACTTGGTAAACTAGAAAATTGTGGGATAGCAGCATCACCACCAGATGGATTTGTACCTGGCTGACAAACTGTACTCAACATGTAGGCCTCAGTGGAACTACATGCCCATGGAGGGAGGTAAGTAGTGGGATATCCCAAGGTTCTGTTTTAGGCCCAGTATTCTTCAATATCTTCCCAAATGATTAGATGAGGGAATATAAAAGGAACTCATCAAGTTTGCAGATGACATTAAGCTGGCAGAAATAGTCAGTTCTCCAGAAGATAGGCTTAAGATCCAAAAGGATCTCAACAGACTTGAACACTGGTGCCTATCTAACAAAATGAAACTCAGTATAGATAAAAATAAGGTTTTACATTTAGGCAAGAAAAAGACAACTGAACCAATGCAGAATAGTTGAAACTTGGTTTAATGCCAGTAACTGTGAGTGGGATCTTGGAGTCCAAGTGGACAATCACTTAAATATAAGCCAATAGTGTGCAGCAGCAGCCAAAAAAGCAAATATAATGCTAGACACATTAATAGATGGATAGAATCAAGATCACATGAAGTATTAGTACTGCTTTACAAAGCCTTAGTATGACCACATTTGGAATACTGCATCCAATTTGGGTTACGCAGTATATTAAAAAAGTTGAGTCTGGAAAGAGTGCGGAGAAGAGCAACAAAGAGGATCAGGGGGCTGAAGGCTAAAACATATGAAGAATGGTTACAGGAATTGAGTATGTCTACTCTAGTGAAAAGAAGGACTAGGGGAGACATGATAGCAGTATTCCAATATTTGATGGGCTGCTACAGAGATGAGGGGGTCAAACTATTTTCCAAAGCATCAGAAGGCAAGCCAAGAAACAATGGATGGAAACTAATCAAAGAGAGAAGCAACCTAGAATTAAGGAGAAATTTCTTGATGGTGAGAACAATCAATCAATGGAATGCCTTGCCTTCAGAAATTGTGGGTGCCCCGACACTGGTGTATTTCAAGAAGAGACTGGACAGCTATTTGTCTGAAATGGCATAGAGTCCCTGTTCAAGCAGGGGTTCGGGCTAAATCACCTCCAAAGTATCTTCCAAATCTATTATTCTGTTCTGTTCTGCTCTGCTCTGAGGGAAGAAAAACCTCTAGCCTTTACAGAGCAGGGAACATTGGGGGGGAGGAGAGAAAACACATCTAAGTGTGATTGTTTAATTTATCCAAGATTCAATTGCCGGAACTGTTTTGCAATGAACTTTGGAGGCAGGTGTTAGAGAAATAGCATCTCTGAGTAATGACTAAGAGAACAGTCAACAACCCAATTTCTGTAACACAGAGTCATGATTTCTTCAATCATGGTTTAATGAATACATATTTATTGATTGGAGAGAGAATGCTATGCCATAAATCTTAGTTTGCAGAACTGGATTAACGCATGCTAAATTTAAACAAACATGTCTTTCTAATGAGAGTTTAGGAGAACCCTGTTCAGCTCTGTGTTCTCACTTGGGGAGCTGTAATCCAATAGAAACAGAAAAGGAGAAATATCTTTAGGAACATTTTACTGCCAGAAGAATAGTCTGCCCGTGGTTACTTTTTGTTACAGGATTCCCTGGCTGCAGAGATCAAGAGCACAATGAGAAAAGGGATGGACAGCTCTGGGTCATCTGAGTACAAGTGAGTGGAGAGCACAATAGCATTCACAGAGTGGCAAGAGGCCTGAATTAAAAAAAAAAAGTTTATAGCTCTCTAGGGTTATCATGGTGATGAAACAAAAAGTAAGGGATGCTCACTATCAGGAGATGATGTTGTAAAGGAGCTGCTGCAATTCCAAACTTGTGGAATTGAACTTAGACTTCAGATAGGTAGAGTTTAGAATACTTCTTGGCCTTATGGACAGTAAAGGCTATGACTTTATTAAAAACAATATTGGAAAAAATGGCACCTACAAGTATTTCAAGGATGTAATGTTTGAGTCTTTTGACAAAGAGTGTGACCAACCTTCTCTTTGATTTCTGTCACTGATTACAATATTTCCAACTGTTTGCTTATTTTCAGAAGCTTCCAGCGTGTGTTTGAGACAGTGAAGGCTGTGAAGCGAGCAACAAAAGCTAAATCGGGAAGGGCAACCCCTTTGAGTTTTCCTCCACGTCCCCCCAAAGCAGCTTCAGTGGCCTGCAGTCACTTTAACACTCCACGTAACAACCACTATGGTTCAGATAGCCCCATTATGCTAGAAGAAAAGAGTCACCTGGCTCCTGAAGATCTCAATGACACTCAGTAAGTATTACTAGGATCTGGACTCCTCTGTAGGAATACAGCCTTCCAAGTCTTGTAGGAGATATTTCATGGCTGAGTTAGCTCAGTTCTCCATCTGGCAATCTTCAGATTTCTTAGGACTAGTGTTCTGGAAATTATCATCCCCAAATATCCAGAGCATGCTGTTAGGAAGGTTAGATTAAATCTTAAAGGCCAAACCTACACAATTTCTGGCTCACCAGCCTTGGATTAGGCCTATTTCCTAGGAGTTTAACAATTTTTTCCATCTTCATTCCTTTCCCATAGTTACTGGTGGGACATGAATATATTCAAACAGTTTATGGGCAGCATATATTGCAGGGAAGGCTGTTTATCTCGATGGATTCCAAACTTTCCAGCCCATCTGTAGTCTGAGGTAGTCCCATTCAAAGAAAAAAATGGAAAGATTTGGACACTGCCTTAAGGGGCATCAAAAGATTAATCAATATTTTGTCCTGCTGGGCCTTTGATGAAGAAAAAGCTGTCAGATAATTATATTACCGTCTCTAGGTTTGGAAGCTATTGGGGCACAGGCTTTGATATGAAAAAGCCATAAAAATGGGTAGCTAAAAAAATACAAGTCTCCTCATTCCTTCCTCACATCATCTTGTATTTCTTTAACGAAACAAGGAGAGCAACTCTTTATTACCCTGTTTTTTTAAACTGCTATGTCTATTTTGGCAAAAACTTTCAGCTAGACTCCTTTGGCACTGTTTTTTCTAACTTTGATTTGCAAACTAAAATGGTGTCTTCTGGACACCTAGGATTGTTGGGCACAACCCATCAAACTGCTGATGTACTCAAAAATATCTCCTATCAATCCCAGGGAATTTATTTTTTGAGGCAGGGATCTGTTTCTGGGAGAGATTTTTATCTTTTCGTTGACTGATTGATGGATCATTGTCAGTCTGTGCTTCTCCAAAAGAAGTTGAACAACATTTTCCAGAATCCCACATTGTCATTCTACACATTGACACTATGAGAAGCTATAATTCAGCAACATCTGGAGAACCAGGATTTTCCCCTTTGATAACATGATAATGGTGATGCTTTCAGAATCAGATCACCTTCTCAACTCTCTTTATTTTAGCCACAGCATGAATGCTACGTCAGGTACACCTGGCCACCATGTCTTGGAAGCTGCTATCCAGAGTTTGTCTGCTCGCCAGAAGAACCACAGCACTGAGCATTCGTTTTTTGAGATGGAACGTGAATACAAACTGAGGCGCCTGGCTTTGGAGGTGGAGGACTTCAGTGGGTGCCTGACCCCCAATGGCAGCATCGCATCCATAGGCACCAACTATTCAGGCAGTTCTGGCACTTCCTTGGGATCCTACTCTTGCTTCCCTGATAAGCTTCAAATTGTTAAGCCTATGGAAGGTTAGTGGAAAGGAGCAGCCCAGACCTCTTCACTTGGAGAAACAGCTTACTTTGGGTTGTTTATTTATTGTTGTCCTTTGGCTTTCCAAGTTCGTTATTTTCTGAGTACCATTTCTGAGTAATACAGATAGTCCTCAACTTACAACAGTTCATTACAGCGGCACTGAAAAAAGTGACTTATGACCAGTGGTGGGATTCAAATATGTGAACAACCAGTTCTCTGTGTGGATGCTGCTTCCAGAAGTCCATTCTGGGCCTGGGCAACAAAAAAGTAGCTACTACTTCTTCCGAAGTGGTGCAAATCAGCTGAATCCCATCACTGCTTATGGCTGTTTTTCACACTTATGACCATTGCAACATCCCCATGGTCACCTGATCAAAATTCAGATGCTTGGCAATGGACTCATATTTATGACAGTTGCAGTGTCCCTGGGTTATGTGATCCCCTTTTGTGACCTTCTGACAAAGTTAGTGGGAAAGCCAGTTTTATTTAACAATCGTCTTACTAACTTAACAACTGTTGCGATTCACTTAACAACTATGGCAAGAAAAGTTGTAAAGCGGAGCAAAACTCAACAAATGTTTTACTTTACAATAGAAATTTTGGGCTTAATTATGGTTGTAAGTCAAGGATTACTTGTACTACAGTTCTGAAAGTAACCTTATGAAATTCCAAAAGGGAATTAAAAACCTGGAAAGGTAAATTCCTGGCAGTTTCAAGTTCTAGATGGGGGGGGGGGAGAAATCTTAGACATTTCCTCCCATTTTAATGTGGACAAAAATACAGGCTTTGGGGGAAAGGTTGTTTCTTGTTTATTTTAAGCTATGTAAAATTCCTGGTAAGACTTATATGTAACAGTGGTAGGAGTAATCCCCAGCTTACCATGTAACCTAATGATTGTAACAGATTTTCCACTTACTGTGAGTTGAGCTCAGGAAAGGATTCAAGGAAGGAGCTAAGATACCGAGAAGGCAGTATTCAAGGCAAGGATGAGGATGGAGCAGAAATGGGAAGGGAAGGAATCTAGGATTCTTCCTAGCCATCCTGATTTAAAAAGAGAAGTGAAATGTGCTAGAAAGGAGAAAGCTTTAAGAAAGGCCAACAAACTCTGAAATGTGAAATTTTTGCAAAGAAAGACCCAACATTAAAACATTGTTGGTTAGCAGCAGAAAAGGAAGGAAACAAAGAGGCAATACTCAGATTCCAAGAAAAATCAGGGCTGCTGTTTTGAATTAGTTTTCATCCATATACAGAGAAACAATTGAACAAATAGTAGTTCCTTGGGAATATTGCAAAGTTATATTGGAACTAGTCACGAAGATCCACAGTCTGGACATATGGGTAAAGATAGGATCACATACAGAACTTTGGATTTTATTGGCCAGGGATTTGTAAAGATGTGGCTCATTATTGCCCTGTTCTAATGGAGAAAATGCATTTAATCCCCATTCCTTTTTCTAAAATAGCCCTGAACATTATAGTCCTTCTGTCATGATCTAGTAAATGCAGTGAATATATCCTAGTTGTCTGTGATTAAGCAACTCAGTACCCAGAAGCAGTTCCACTGAGGAATGTGTCAGCTAAACAAATAGCTAAGGAACTGGTGATCAAAATGTTTAGTAGGATAAGCACACCATATAAGATCCTCACAGATCAAAGATCTAATTTCTAAAAATCAGCACTGCATAAGTATCTTTGTGCAGACTTAAGAATAAAAAGGGTGTGTGCAAATCCATAGGCAGATTATTTTAGTAAAAGGATGAACCATATCCTGAAAATTATACTTAAGAAATATGCAAGCTAAGACTCAATATTTTTGGTTACATCTTTTCTGTTGTTTGCATTCAGGAAAATTCCTCAGGCATCCATGGAATTTTAGCCCCCTCCTCCATTTCATGGGAAACAACTTTGAGGGTTTTAGACATTATTAAGAAATGCTGGTGTAACAATATAGAAGACTCCAAATATATATTATAACTCAGAGGAATAAGTTAAAAGCCCTAGGGCACATTGCCACGAATATTTAGAGATAGGCAGAGAAAGACAAAACAGAGTCTATAATAAAGGTTTAAAGGCAAAACAATTTACTGTAAGGAAAGCAAGTATTTGTTGCTATTGCTTAGTAAAGAAAGCAAATTATAGGCTAAGAGGCAAGGTCCCTACATAGTAAAGAGAAGAATTGAGTCAGTGAATTATGAAATTGAACTGGAAGATAGAAAAAAGAAAACCTACCATGCTAGCCTTCTGAGGAAATGATACAATGGATCTGAACCTGGGATGGCTTTCCTTACACTGAAAGAAAGCCATCCAGAATTGCTGGAACAAGTGATACTACAGCCATCCCTTGGAAAGATACATATTAATTCTGACGTAAGACACAGTCAAAAGATAGAGTCAGAAAAATTGTTATGGGACTGTAAACATACAGTATGTTCACCATATAACCAGGTTTAACTGCTTTAGTAGAGCACAGAATAGAAATGGGTTAAATCCAACCAATTAGACAGTGTTTCTATAGGATGCCTGAAGAGTTGAAGTAGTCAGATGCCCCAGATGACATTGTAGAACTATCTATAAGTCACTGGTATTCTTCAATTGATTTAGTCTCAAAACCAAATGGAGAAATATGATTTTGTGCAGACTTCCTACAAATAAACGAAGGGACAAAATATCATGGGTGTCTAATGTCCATCTCTTGGATGACCTAGTGGAGCCAAGTATTTATCATCCTTGGATTAACCAAAGAATATTGGGAAATTCCACTGGAACACTATTCCAAAGAGACAACATCATCTTTCAATTCAAAAGAATGCATTTTGATCTACAAGAGGTATCTGCTCCCTTCCAGAGTTTAATGAACAAGATTTTACAAGGTCAAGGAGAATGGTGTGCTACCTATCTAGATATATCCTGATCTATAGCAAGACCTGGCAAGAACACCTCCAACACTTAATAATTGACATTCTAACTATAAACCCAGAGAAGTGCCATTTGGGATATCAATATTTGGAGTTCATGGTTGGAAAGGGGGAGATAAATCTGAATAGGGAAAGGTTGGAATTCTGAAACAGGTGGAAGCCCCCAAAACAAAGATGTGCATTTTTTTTAGGGCCAATGAGGTATTATCAAAGGTTCATACTTCATTTTTCTACTGTGACTCATTCTGCAGCTGAGAATGGAGCTTGGCCTGCACTTCACAGTGAAAAGCCTTTCCTGAAGGCCACTGCAACTGAGAACCAATCTATGGGTTGAATCCATAGCTTGGTTCTCGGGTGCAGTGGCCTTCCGGAAAGACCTCTGACTGCGAAATGCAGGCCTGGGGATGCCGTAGAGGAAGTGGACTGGCAAGGAGAGGCCTGGCTACAAGGTAAGTGGGTGCAGGTGTGTGGGGCAGCTCCACACCCTGCCCTAGCTTGACTTTTAGTTGTCTGCCTCACCCCAAAACTAGGGCTTATTTTGGGGATAGGGCTTATGTTAGGCCCACCCCCAAAAATCAAGCTAGGGCTTATTTTCGGGGTAAGTCTTACTTTTGGGGAAACGTATTAACAACTTAACAATTCTGTGATTTACTTAATAACTGTGGCAAGAAAGGACATGGGCAAAACTCATTTAATAACTCTCTTTGTTAGCAACAGAATTTGGGCTCATTTGTGGTTGCAATTAGACAATTACCTGTACACTCTAAAATGAGCAATCAATGTTCTTTGTGTGTATCTCTGGGGTTGGGAATTCACTGTAATAACTGATTATAACCGCTCATCCCCCTGCAACAAATGAAAGATACCAGTTCATGGTTAACCAGATGAAATCTGACACTATAACCTTACCATTTCCATATTATATGCTGAGTGCAACACTGATTTCCTATTACAGTATGGAAAAGACAGTGAAATCAAGGTTGGTTTTTTTAATTAAAAAAGTGAGGCATGTGAGATAGTAGGCTACCCAGAAAATGGCCAGCATATATGCTGCTTTCTTCTTTTCTATTTAAGCCCTCTCCTGAGTCAGCATAGCAAGATAAACTATTAAAGCTTTGCTATGAAATAACTGAAGGTATGTGTAAGTAAAGCAGTTAGAAAGAACTTTTTTTCTCTAGCAATACTCACAAGGAAAAATAGTTGGAGTAGCAGGTGTATACTAGCAGGAGTTGTAGCAGTATTGGGGAAGAGTGGAGAATAATGAGTAAATTGCTTGTCTTCACCATAATAAAGATTTGAGTGAATAAATAGTATTTGAGTGCTCGGGTATGCTGTTAGGTCTTTTGGTGTCTTGAACTCATCAAATTAGGTATAGTTTAAAGCATTTGGGGTCGAACGACCATTTCATGAGGGTCACCAAACAACGCAGTCCACCATTTTTTTCCCCTTTTCCTTAGCTGTGTTACTCCCTTTTATTCTATTGGCTTTTGAAAGCCAATAGAATAGACTCTCTTGAATAGAGTCTAATTCTATTGGCTTTCAAAAGCCAATAGGAATTGTCCAAGCTGTCTCTACCCTGCTGAGCCCACCAAAAGTCTCATTCTGCAAACGGTGCTGCACCAGTTGAGTAGTCCTCGACTTACGACCGGTTGAGTAGTCCTTGACTTACGACCGATTGGGGGTCGCGGCATTAAAAAGGTTGAGAACCACTGGTTTAAAAGAACCCATGATAGTGACTCTGACAACTGTAGTTCAGACTGCCTGAGGGACTTCAATGCAATCAATTTTTCTGCCTTGTTTGGAATATTTCCTTTGTTTAGAGCAGGGGTGTTAAACTGGCAGTCCACGTATCAGATGCATCATGCCACGCCCAGCCCAGCTCCGCAAAGGCAAAAAACATCGCGATACATCACGATATGTCATGTGACGCGATTGAGTTTGTCACCCATGGTTTAGAGCCATCCCTAAACATTTAGCTGCATGAAGGAAAGAGCAAGAGGACACCTTGTTCCCAACCGTAACAACCAGTTGGACGGGCAATTTAATATTGTACTGGTTAGACTCCCATTTCTATTATCATTAAAGGTAGGCTAGCAATAGGATTGGCCATGTCAAAAGGGACCAGGGCATGCTGTTCTTTGCAGATAATAAGATTGGACTAGGTGTCCAGCATGGGGCTTAAAACTTACAGGATTCCCTCCTGCCTTTCATGTGTTATCCACGTAGTTTGGAAATTTCTATTTCTCATTGTAATGTTGGTTTGCAGTTCCCCCTACTTCTGTTTAGACCTGTTACAAATGATTTTTGCTGGGATTTGCCAATGGATCCAGTAAACTCACATAGACCTCTGTGCCTCCTCTTAGGTTCCGTGACTCTGCACCACTGGCAGCAGCTGGCCCGGCCTCACCTGGCAGGAATCCTGGACCCTCGACCAGGTGTACTTACCAAAGATTTCCGCCAGCTTGACACTGATCTTGAAGAGGTCCATAATCTAAATGACTTAGAAGAAGATGAGATGGATGGCAGCGCCTTGTCTTCCCTTGCTGCCTCAACAACTGTTAAAGCCAAAGAAAGGCCAACTGGTGAGTGGCTGAGTTGCATCACTCCAAACGGTATACATCAGCTTGTCTTTGAGGATTTGAGGAAATCCTGAAAGTTAGTAAGCATCACCTCATCTTTCCTGCAGGAAAGCAATCATGATTTTTTTGCCCTGTGATAGTTGGAATATGTGCCTGTTGGTGAGGTCCAGCTCAGCATTACTAGTAGATACCATGGGTGCTTTGGCAATGTTCTTGTGGCAGTGAATCAGGTGGGTTCACAAGAATGTGAGAGAAACTTCCAGGTGTAACTTCCTACTGGACAAGCTATACTCCTCTAGCTCAGTGTTTCTCAACCTCAACAAATTTAAGATATATGAACTTTAATTCTCAGAATAATGAAGCCGGCAATGTAATTGCTTTGTAATTCTGGGAATTGAAATCCATGCATCTTAAAGTTGTTGAGGTCTAGAAACAATGCCTTACTTTTGCAGACAATCCACAGGGAGGAATGTTGGGAGTCGTAGTTGAGTAAAATCTTGGGAGCCACAGGTTCCCCATATCTTTTCCAGCTGGAGGCTATGAATCATTGCAGACAAATTGGATGAAATGTAATGTCCTATTGTTCATAGAAGCTTTTCCCTCCACTGTTTCCCTGGATGTTTGTCCACCTTCATAACTCCCATCCCATTCTGCTCACTCATTAACCCTTTGTTTTCCTGTCCCGTTTAGTTTTTCACTCCGTTAACAATCTGCCCCAGACCCCGCCTACTTTCACCATCACCACCTGTTGCATCATGCACCCTATCAAAGAGATTACCATGGTGACACCCAGGTAAGCATCCTATTGCCCTTCCCTTAAAGCTTTCCAGCCATCTCTCCTTCTCCTACATAGCAAGGCCATTCCCTACATAAAGGATGTGTATGTGCACATCTGTAATTTTTGTTTTCTACCTCTTATCTTGCATTCTCCCCATTCCTCCTTGTCAAATCCTGGCTTTAGGCATTTCTCCTGATATGGGCAACTTCTGGGCACATGGATGGGAGACCTGAAGTAAGACATCTTGCTTGCTGCTTCCTTTCTCTCCATCCAGCAGCAGAATTTCCCTCTTTGATCCATCTCCTCCTGAGTGACCCTGGCTTGGAGAAAAGAGGACCCAAGCCCATTGGATAATGGCTGCAGGGAGGAGCAAGGCCTTGCAGGAAATAGAGAATGAAAGTTCATTGACCTGGGAAGAGGAAGTTATGACACTTTAGTGCTGGGGTTTATTTAAAATGAGTTCTGGTGATCAAGCCTGCCCAGAAAATTGGCATTATAAGCAACCAATTTGTGTGTGTATATATCTATGTATCCATGTATCTATTTGTGTATCTGTGTATGTATCTGTATGTGTATATGTATATATGTACTCACACATACACATACACATATTAAGTGTTTTTCTGGTGAAACCGGTCTAACAGAGCACCTGGTTTACCCAAATATGGGATGGAGCAATCTGCTATTGTCGAAATAGCTATACTAGTCTCCCTTTAATTCTTTGTCAGCAAAATCTAAAATATATACACATATATATTCACATATACATACATACACACACACACACACACACATGCATATATACAAACATATAGTATTCTGCATATGCTTAGGGGCATCTTGCTTAACTGTCGATTGGTGACAGCTGAGGCTCGGCCCAGATGAAGCCCTGGCTAAGAAACCACCTGCTGGGCAGCCCATAAAAAGTCATTGTAGGATAATGAAACATAGGCATCTGCCTTTAATCAACATTAATGTTGGATGCAGTTGCTCACATACTTCTTCAGAGGCTTTTAGTTGCTCTGAACTTCTTCTCTCCCTTTATCTTCCCCATCGAATCAGCGGCCTTTCTCTGTTCTGGAGATCTTTCTCTTTGTTTGGTTAATGTTAAGGTTTTGATGAGGATTTGGGTGATAAGCAAAGCATATGGGTCTCCATTCTCCTAACAACTCATTGTAAGAAAAGAACAAGGAAATGAATGAAGGGGCTTATTTAAGTCAGTTTTTCTCAGTCATTCACTAGAAAATATTGGACTACAGCTCTTATAATCCTGGATTACAAGGAGACTTATGAATTTATCCACAACATTGTGATTGATTGTATATGACAAGCTTAAACTTTCAATCTCACTATAACCTTAGCTATAGCAGTTTGCAAACCCAGCAGCCATCATCCGCAGTTGAAGTGTGAAACTAAATTCGGCCTGTCTGGGAAAGCAAGATTTTAACCCACTAATTTTTTGCAGACTTCGCTGCCAACCTTTCTGCTTTTCTGTAAACTAACTGAAATGAAATTTGTGATGCTGACTTTCAATGCTGAGTTTTCAGCAGATCCTGTCCTCAGAAAGATAAAAATGGATAGCTAACAAACTCAAAACTAATGCTGTTGACACCTTTTCCTAGAGCAAAAATGGGCAATCTTTAGTTGGCAGAGGCCACATTTAATATTTGGGGAAGGGTGGCAAGGAGCCATTCTGCTGTGGAAAATGATGTCAGTGGTGGTGTCATATCTGTGCATGGAACATCTTCTCTAAATTTGTGTATTTCATTACACAAAGCCTATTTCAGAACCTATGCAAAAAAAAAAAAAAAAGAAAATCCAAACAACTAGAACCTATTGATTATTTATTTATTTGTATCCTGCCTTTATTGTTTTTATACATAAAGTAAGGCAGCAAACATATCCAATACACCATCCTCCTCCTTTATTCCCCATAACAACAACCCTGTAGGGTGGAGTGGGCAGAGAGAGAATGACCAGCCCCAGTAATGCAGCTGGTTTTCATAGCTAAGATATACAGGGTGAACCAGAAGCCAGGCCTCATAGGCCAATCACAATATGTTTATTATTTCTTAACACCCATCTTTCCTATAACATGCCTCTAAGTGGCTTACAGACTACAAAACAAATAGCAAAATAATTACAATTTGTTAAAATATTAAGACTACACAGATTAAAAATTTAAAAATGATACAAAACTCAAAATTAAGAGACAGATGGCAGAGGGATGAGATCTTCTTATCCTATCACCTACCTCCAGTGGTGAGCATCCCCTCAATTAATATAAAATAGTAATTGATATTTTTAAAGGGAAAATGTTTCAGTTTTAGGAATGCTGAAACATCATGTGTCAACGAAGTAAAGAAGCTGTTAGAAAAAAGTACATTATATTTAATTTAATTTATACAATAGTCAAAGTGGCCTAACTTTTAGTATCCCCTAGGTCAATGGTGGGATTCAAATATGTGAACAATCAGTTCTCTGTGTGGATGCCGCTTCCGGAAGTCCATTCTGGGCCTGGGCAACAAAAAATTAGCTATCGGTTCTGCCGAAGTGGTGCGAACCAGCTGAATCCTGTCACTGCCCTAGGTATATATGTGTGAATATGTTTGTAAAAAATATATTAGTCACTGAAGAAATAGAAAGAAAGGAGCTGAATAGCCAGTAGTTCCCTACCTGTGGCCTTGATGAAAAAAAAAACCTAAATTGCTAGTAATCTAAGGAGCCACAATAGTATTAATAGATGGGTCAGAGCTTTTCTGTCTTCAACATCTTTTCTATCAGGTACCAAGATGGGAATATCTTCCTCCTGGACACCAAGGACAGGTGCCTAGTTTTAGAAAGCAGGCACTGCTGCAGTCATGGCATGGCTGGGGAATTTTGGGAAATGTAGTCCCCACACACTTGAAGGGGGCCAGGTTAGAGAAGGCCGCCCTTCTGTAGCACATGAGAGTGCTGAAAAGTGTGTGTTATGGCTGACACGGTACTGTTAATTTCAGATGCTGTGCTAGTTCCGACTCTTCTTTTGTTTTGCGGAAGGCCCAATTAAAAATAAAATTATGGTGGATTGGGCCTTAAAGGGTCAGTCTGTAGTTCTCAGCCAGCCTCAAGGGCAGAAGCAAAGGCAGCCACTGCCCATATGAATTGAAAGAAGCCTCCCTGAATTAGCTGAAAGGAAAGCAAAAAAATACCTTTTAAAAAAATGCTGCTGATATAATTAGGAAAGAAAGTACTCAGTCAAGCCCTAAAATATTAGGGCAACTCTCTTTTCCTATGCACCAGCAGGAGGAATTTGTGGAAAAGGAGCACAAGCCCACATCCTACAAAACCTTCCTTCGTTTTACCTTTGCAGAATGAACGGAAGGGGGCAGAATAAGCCACTTTTTCCATTTGGTTTGTTCCGTTATATTGCTCTTTTCTTATTTGATATAGAAAATTACTATTTTCAGGGCCCAGGTAATCTGCACCTGGTTGAAAAAATACCATGTAATGTAGACATTGCTCTAAAGCGTTTCTGCGAAGGAAACTTCCCAGTTGCCAGAATTCCCAGCCTGCACAGATTGAGAGACTGTTGCAGAACAAATCAAGGTGGGATGGAATGTATGTTTGCAATTAAGCACCTAATCCAAACATATTAAAGCCTTTAGACTAAATGCTTGGGTTTTTTTTCACCCTTCCTTCTCCTCCTCCTTAGTCTTTATAATACAGTTGTGCCGTCTTGTGGGCCCTGCATGGGGCTGAGCCCGTCTTCCCCTCCTCAGCCCCCACTTCAGGCACAACACAGGCAGGAGAAGAGAGAGAAAGAGCTTGGACTGGTGACTCTCCTGACAGAGCAAGGCATTTCTGCACAGAGCCAAGGAGGGGCGCTCGTGTCCCCACCCCGAGTTATTAAGGATCCAAGCCTCTCCTCTTGCTTTTCTTCTCCCTTGGTTTCACTGTGGCACTACCGCTCGGATAGCTTTGCTGATTGGGCTTCAGGACTGCGTCCACTGCAGCACAAGAAATCTGAGAAGAGTCTGAATAGTATCTTCAGCTTGAACCTGGTGGAGAAACTGCAGCAACTGGGGCTGGACAAAGTGTTGGCTAGAGGGGAAGCATCATACCTAACCTCACATCAGCAGGAACTTCGCCAGGGAAAGAAATGTCTCTCTGGACTGAGCAACCAGCAAGATCCGGTGGAGCCTCAGTGAAAATGAACGGGGGGTCTTTCTCTCTGTGTGTGTCCTATTGCCTGCTTTAGAAAGCTGGACAAAACTCGGTTGTACAGCTAGAACACTGGGTGTGCTGGGTTGAGGAGCACTTAAGTTCTCCCTAGAGCACTGTTTTTCTTCATTACTTGTGAATCATTCTGTTGTTGGCATATCCACTACAGGGGTACATTGCATCTCCATCCTTCAATTTCTCCCCCCCCCTCCCCTTCCCTGCTCCCCACTGCTGGTGGAACATTTCTGATAAATTACGGTTCCCAGATCGTTATCTAGTATCCCCGATCCCAAGCCCATTTCTTCTGCCTTTTTTCCCCAGTCTTATTCTACTAGAATTGCACAAGTCACAGAGCCTTCTGGGTGAGGGGGCAAAAGCTTTGAACTTCTTAGCTACAAATGGTAGTGGGCAGACTGAGCATTGGAAGCAGCAACTGAAGTAGATTGTTGTCTGGGACTAGAAGCAAAGGTTAGCACTGGCTTTTCCACATTTTCTTTCTTTTTCAGATGTTTTCTTTCCCTCTGTCTCTGCCCTCTTTATGTTTCTCAGTTTCTATAGGGATGGCAGGCTAAGTGGAAATTTTGGTGGGAAGTAATATTTTGTTGGGGGGAGTTGATTGGAAACATTTCTTAGTTCTCTTTTACTACCAATACTAGTATCCTTGACTTTTGTTAACTGTGACATGGTGTCTGTGTCTTCATTTGGATGAAGCCTGTTGAGATTTTCCCACTTAAAGACATAACAGTTTATTATAAAAAAAAATTGAAGAAAGTTCATTGGGCTTTGGTTGTGATTGTATTATATTTCTGATACTTCCGAACCAAGGGCTGTTTCGTTCTTTTTGGTGTCTGAGCATGTTCTTTTGGGAATGTAGAATTTCCTGCTTCTTAAAATTTTTCCCCAGCACTTTATTTCTCTTTCCAATCTACTGTACAAGCTGGATCTGTGTTTATGTTTTATCCACACAAAAACAGGACTAGATCATGTTCCTCCCCATTCCTCCCAAGTGATTATTCTCGTTCTTTTCAAGAGTTAATCCAAGTTTGCAATGTGTTGTGTTTTTCTTTCTTCTCTTGAAAATAATGCCTGCATTTTTCCAATTATGAATGTTAAATTAAAAAGCCAACCTCCATCCCTCTTGGACCCGTCTAGTTCTGTACTCTGCTTATATATGTATGCTGCACAAAATGCCATTTGCACTTCTTCTGTGAAGGCCAGTTTGCACTCTCCCACATATACAGTTCTCTTCCTGTGACTTCGTAAAATTAAATGATGATGCTGTTTCCCTGACCAGTCTCCTGTGGTTTTGCCTACATACACATATTTAAATATGAACACACTTCATCTGTTGAGAAAGCTGAGCAAAAACATGTGCTTCACCTATTAATACGGCTGAATTGATTTAGTAGCAATAGAATTTAGACTTGAATAACATCCTGTAATACTTTACAGCACCCTCTGGGCAGTTTACAATGTCAGCATATTCCCCCCAACAATCTGGGTCCTCATTTTACCAACTTTGACAGAATGGAGGGATCTTGAGCCCATCAGGATTGACCTCCAGACTATGGGCAGAGTTAGCCTGTAATAGTGCATTCTAACCACTGCGCCCAGGGCTCATTTAATTTAACATAGTGCTGAACTACTCATTGTTTCTTATAAATCATTGTTTATTATACTTCAGTGTTATTCCTGAATCATGCTGACAAATTATGGTTAAATGAATTATGGTATACAACATGACTACTAAAATGAGGTGTCTACTTTGGTACAAGTGCCTTTGAAATTTCCAGGTAGGAAGAGTGATTGTAGAAGAGATAAATAAGAAGCTACGTTCAAAGAGACCTGTCAATCACAGCCTGATATCCTGATTATTTTTCAGGCTTTGGGCATTTAGATGAATGTCAAAAGCCCTTTTTTTTTGATAGGAGAGAAGATTATGGAGATTGAATGAAAATCTTAGATAAGAAGTTTAAGTTTAAGTATTTAGTTTAAGTATTCAAAGAGTATTTAGTTTTAATGGTATAATGAAGGTTTATATGTTTATTTTTGTGTTCTAGGATAAAGAAAGAGGGAGAGATTAGATTTTATATTGTAGGTATAAATATTCAAAGAAAGTAATGTTTAAATTTGTGTTTTGGAGGGAGTTTATACAGAATGATGGATAATAATATAAGTATAATACTAGAAAATGTTTAGAGTATGTTATAATGTGTTTAATGATTGCAATTATTATTTTTTAGAGAAGATAACCTATTTAATTTAATGTATTTAGATTTGTTTAGGATTTATATGTGTTTTAAGTTTTTCTTTTCTTTTTCTGAAAAATTTTAATTAAGCCTGTACTCAGCTCTGGGAAGGTTGGGGGAGGGTTTGGGAGGTGGGGGAGGGTATGGGAGGGTGGGGGGGTTTCGGGAGGGGATTTGTTTTGTAAAATTTAAAAAACTTTCAATAAAAAAAAAAGCCCTTCTGTTCTGGGGAAGGGTAGTTGGGTAATTCAGAAATAAAATGTATGACTTCTTCCATATACATTTTTTGATTATGATCAAGGTGATTCTGATATTTTAGTACAAACTGTCTAGGAAATGCCACATGGGGGGCAGATTGGTAGACAATAAGGGCTAAAGTTGTATTATCTCTCCCAACAGAATAGATGAGAAGGGAGGGGACTGAGTAGATGCAATTGCTTGATCTAGCCAACAGAGGGCTGCAAAGATCCTTTGCTGCAAGCTGTCTTGGTTTAACTGACTTGGAATTGTATACTCCATATGACTAACAGCTTTTCGACTAACAGCTTTTCCTTTGATTACTCTCTATGTAAGGCAGGGGTGCCAAACTGCCGGCCCATGGGCCGGTTTCATCATACCAGAGCCGTGCCCATTCCATTGCCGGCAATGGCAAAAAAACTCCGATACATCGTGCGACGTCACGAGTTTGACATGTCTGATGTAAAGGATCCCAGCAATAGGATACTCACTGCATGTAGCATATTTGTTCACACAAAGAATATTTTCATTTGAAAATCCAGTAGACTTTCCACTGGGAAGGGGATTCCAAACATAACTTTTGTCTACTGGAGTCTGTCCCTAAAGTGCATTTTCATTATCATTGCAAACTTAATCCGACCAGTACATTAAAGGTAGTTACATGGCATTTGAATTGTGGGTCTGACGTGGAATCTGCCCTCCCGCATATGTGGCAAAGCATTTTTGCATCATGACATCCCATCTAGGATTAATCATTCTGCGAGGACTGTTGAATTGGAGCTAGAAGGTGAGTTGTGCTTTGGGGCTATTGATGGGTTGAGATAATTTAATAATAATTTATCCTTCCTCCAAATGTTCATCCAAAAAAGGCTTGGTCTGCTGGAATGAGAGGGAGAATCCCTTGCTAAGAAGCCTTATGTTATACTTCGCCGAGAGGTCTCCATCAGCCACTTTCCAAGGATGTTGATATCCCTGAAGCTTTTCGCTGCTTGAAAGTGGGGTTACATGTTGTAATGGTATTTACAGCTGACTTTGGGGAAGGAATGAGTGAGCCATTAAGGGAAGATTATATCCTCCTGAGACAGAGAAAGACAGCATGAGAAAAAAACCCTTAAAATTACTTTCAAAAACAGTGTGGTCTAGTGGTTAAGACACCAATTTAGATGCCAGGAGACTGAGTTCTAGTCCCACCTGAAAGCCAGCTGGATGACTTTGGGCCAGATTCTCTCTCTCTCAGCCCAACTCACCCCACAGGGTTGTGGTTGTGGAGAAAGTATTAGCTATGTTCTCTGCATTGAGCTTTTTATAAACAATAATAAAAATGGGATAAAAATCAAGTCAAATAGCCCCACTTTGATTTTGTTTGACATAAGAGCACACCAAGAGAAACTGGGAATGTTTCTCCCTTACAACAATAAAGAATATCTTTAGAATCCCTGCTGTGCCTGCTTCTTGACCTCACCTACCTTGAAGGGCTGGCACATGGACAACATTTTTCTCTTAAGCTCGATTTTTAAAAAAGAGCACAGCTAGTCCTCAACTTACAATAGTTCATTTAGTGACCAAAGTTACAGTGGCACATTCCCACAATCACGTGATCAAAATTCAGACGCTTGGCAACTGGTTCACATTTATGATCGTTACTGTATCCCAAGTTCATGCGACCCCCTTTTCCAACCTTCTGTCAAGAAAAGTCAATGGCGAAGCCAGATGCACTTAACAACCAGGTTACTAATTTATCAACTGCAGTGATTTACTTAACTGAGCCAAGAAAGGCCATAAAGCGGGGCAGAATTCACTTAACAAATGTCTCACTTAGCAACAGAAATTTTGGGCTCAATTGCGGTTGTAAGTCAAGGACTATCTGTATACCTCAAACCAGCTTAGGAATCATCAGTAATCAATAGTCCAGCCTTAATTCCAGCTGGGTTTGCTGATTCTGTTCAGACAGATACTGCTTCCCTTCCTCAGGGTGTCTAAAAAACTAGCCCCTGTTCCATGTCCAGCCTGCCTGGCCCTTTTCCCAGGAGCGTTTCAGAGGAGCAATCTCGTCAGAGAAAGGATGCTGCCGCTTGCCAGCATTCAGAAGCCCCAGTCTCCATCCTGTCTCAGGTACAGTAATTAGCAGAGCTGCTGCTTAGTGGAAAACTCCATCAGGCCGGTCGAATGTTCCTGTTCCCTGCATCTTCCTGAGGATGTTAATGAAGGAGGCCCCAAAGTGGAGAAAACACGAGGCTCAAGTTTTTGGTTGTTTCAGGCATAGGGCGGCCCTAAAGTACAACAGGCCTGATTGAATTGTCTACACAGAATTTTCAAGCTGGGGTTTGCACAAAAGAATGGCATATCAAGAAGCCAGTTTCCTGCTTCTCCTTCTTGCCCTGCCTCAACATGCTCAGCTACTTATCTGCTCTGCATTCTGGCTTTGTGTAATACACTAAGCTGTAAACAAGTATTTTTCAAACTTGGCAACTTTAAGATGTGTGGACTACAACTCCCAGAATGCTGGCTGGGAAAATTCTGGACGCTGAAATCTACAAACCTTAAAAGTTGTCATGTTTGAAAAACACTTCTACAAACTAAACAAATAAGCTGTGTTTGTACCACCTGATCCACATTAAACAAACTGAACACTAAGATTAGCATGGTATGCAAATATTACCACCAAGAGTGCCATCTCAAGGCACAAGCTGGCCGTTGGTTGCAGGAATAGATGGCTCAGGAGGTCCTGATTGATTAAGGTCATCAAAGAGGTTTAGCTCATAAGAACATTGTTGAAAGCCTATTGTACTTATTTGCAAAATGTCTTTCATGGTTGCATGGCTAATTTCTGTGTAATGTGGATATTTACACATGGCTAGCTTCTCACAAGATTTAGTTCCAATTATTTTAACAATAGCTATGTTTGGGTTTAAATTAAGTGGTTGCTTTATTATTGAGTTATAATAATGTTGAGTCTAGGTCAGGGCATGACTTACAAAGTTCATTTGAAACTACTCTTTTAGAGTCAGTTTTGCACTTGATTCCAGCTGGTTAATTTTAACAACATTGTAAAACTCAGTTTAGATTCTACAAAGTTTAAGTTGGCCCTCCCCTGCAGTTGGATCTTTAACTGCAGGACTGAATCATGACCAAAACTGGAAAGTTTTTCTACACTGAGCCAACCCTTGTGTGATTTTGATACTGTGAAGGTTTGCATAGGACATTTAGCTATAAATTAAATAAACCCCTACAGAAGATTGTTTGAACTTGAGCTTTTCCTCAAGCATTAGAAGCACAATCTAGGAGCCTAATGTATGTATATGCTTGTTTTATGGAATTTTTATAGTATGTTTTTGTTATTTGTTTCTTGTATTGGCTTTATTTGACTGATTTTTTTTATATTGTTTTTGTACAGATATCACCAACCAGAGTTAATATTTAATATATATTTCATAATGTAAGTTTTACATTATATTATTTTCTAAATAAGTAAAATTTTCTTCTAAACTGTTCATTATCTCCTTCTAGAATGGGTCTTTTTGCGACTCCCTATCTCCACTGCCGTTAACTGATAGTCTGTGTTTTTTTATTACTGGGATAGTCATTTTTTTATAGGAAAAAGCTGTCCTTGATCTTGCTAGTTCTTGTCTGAGAGTGAAAATGGATTTGTGTGCTATCAGCTTTACCTGCAAGGAAGAAAAAGACTAACGTCTCCCCTTCCTTGATATGGATATAAAGAGACAGAAAAATGGTGAACTGATAATTTGTGTATACCAGAAATCCATGAACACTAACCAAATCACAAACTTCACAAGCAACCACCCCAAGGCACATAAAAGGAGCTGTGTCCAGACCTGCTTTAAGAGAGCCAAAACACACTATAGCACGAAATACCTAAGAGAAGCAGAGGAGAAACACTTTTTCAACATTTTGCGAGACGCAACGTGGAAACAAGTCCTGCCATACATGAAAGGAACATCAGATGTGACCACCAGACTACTGCAGAATAACCATAGTACACAAACCCACTTTCACTCTCAGACAAGAACTAACAAAGCTCAAAGGCAGAACACGGAAAGGAAACAGCAACAACATAATATACACAGTCAACTGCAAAAATTGTAACCAGTTCTATATCGGACAAACAGGATGATGATTAAAAACCAGAATTCATGAGCTTTAGCTGGCAGTTAAGCAGCACGACCCAAAACCCTGATCTCCAACCACACTGACAGTGAACAACTCTTTTTCAACTGGGGTGAAATCATTGGCCACACCAAAACCCATCATGCACACAAATTCATTGAAACCTGGTACTGTACCAATGGATCCATCAACAACACTTTGACTTTGAACCGGCATATTAAACCAATAAGGAAATGGACCAAACCCAAATCACTAATCAGCGACAGAATTGTCCACCTCCTCCCCAGTTGAATTTTGTGCACCACATTTTATCCGAAACCCCACTGAAGATATTACCTAGTCTGGGAGCAAGCTTAGAGAACAAACCACTGCTGAAACCTACAACTGGAGCTACGAATATTCTCAAGAATTTATAATATGGTGTGTATGTGTATATGCTCACCAACCCTTTTTGGGAAATGGGCCGCCCAAGCAGTTGGAAAGTGCGCAAATGCAAAAAGGTGCTTTCGCACAAATGGCACATGCATGCACAATACCATCCCCTCTCCCTCCCCCTCCCTCCCACCAGTCTGCAGAGCCTGAAAGGTTGGGGACTGCTGGCTTAAAAGTATTCATTTAGTTCTGAATGGGATTATCGCAGAGCTTCCTGATCCAATGTTGCCCCTAAAAGCTTGAGCATCCTCCGTGACAAGAAATAAACATTCTTCATCACCTCTGGCTGATAAGCTAGTTCTCATATTTCCTGCAAGTGACAACTGGCCTATTCTTCAACCTTGGTCTTGAAATTTCAGTTGGCCAAAATAATGCTACAAGATTTTTGGAGACTGAGCAATTTGCCATTTTACTGATTTATTAGCTGCACAGAATGTTTTTGGGCTCAACATCCAGTGTTCTTTTGAATTGAGACCAACATTTTAGAAATATCACATCTCAGTTTGAATCATGGAAGCCTTCTCAAAGGTTGTTTTCAGGTGCTCCTGACAAATGAAGGAGGGAAAATAGAGTATTCTCACTAAAAAAGGAGAATAGTCTTATAAAGTTAATTCTGTTATTTTGCCTTCAAGTGAATATTGTTTTATTCCCCAGCGTTTTTAATATCCCGTTTTTATTTTGCACTTTAAATGTTGTAGGTTCTTAGTTGCACTGAGTTTTATTTCACTCCCTGCTACTTTTTATGTTATAATTTATAGTTATAATTATAGTTACAGGTATGCACAGATCTGATATTGTATTGTGATTTGGGAACCTGTAAATATTATTGAACATTTTATAAAGATGCAATAAAAAATGATGAAGGTAATCTTGGCTCCATACAAACATCATGTGAAGGCTCTACACAGTTGTAAAACATCTTTCTGGCACCAGGAAACCTGTAGATTTTATCAATGATAGTCACCATGGCCATGAGTAATAAGAACCTTAGCCCAACAGAATTGCAGTTGTTCCCAATGGGATAATGGCTATTCTAAAATGTTTTTAAGTATTAGGATAAGGATAGCAATAAAAAAATACAAGTCAGATAATATATTTACTATTCAATATAAACCACAAAAGAAAATTGTACAGTGGTTTAGATGATATACAACTCTGTTCAAGCTAAATATGATCAAAGTATAATAAGTTTTCTTCATCTTCCTCTCTTGAACTTCTGTAGATATAAAAAGAATAAAATATATTATACTATGCTTATTAAATTAGATATTCTTTCCATCAGTCTGTTCAAATTTTGTAAAGTATTATCATTATAGTAGAACCAGTATCCTTATTCTCAAATGCTTATAAAATATGAGGGGAATTCGGAAATAAACCTCCATTTGGTTATCAATGACAGATACAAAACTTTTATTATACACATTAGAAAACTACATTATGTTACTTTTTGACATAATTGCTATTCAAATTAAGGAACTTACAACATCTTACAAGGTTTGAAATTCCTTAGTAGTCGCTCAGCGCCAAATCTGGGCTATAGAGGGTGATCAAAAATCATGAATCAACACAACGGAAGTCAGCATACCCAGACGCTTGTTATGGATGACTTGTCTGAGTTTTTGTAATGTTTCACATTAGCTCCATGAACTTCACTAGCAGTACTCCTTTGGTATCTTCACATTTGGCGGGATTTCCTATGGTACCACTTCCGGTGTGGTGTCAGTTCATGATCATGCTTGTCCACACACCACTAGACGCATCCAAGAACTTTTAAAGCAGTTCTGTTGGGATGTTTTTGATCAAACCCTTCCCCCCAACAGCCCAGATTTGGCGCCAAGTGACTACTACTAAGGAATTTCAAACTTTTTAAGACATTATGACAAGTGCCTCAATTTGAATGGCAATTATGTCGAAAAGTAATGTAATGTTGTAATTTTCTAATGTGTATAATAAGAGTTCTGTATCTGTGAGTATCTGTCATTGATAACCAAATGGAGGTTTATTTCTGAATTGTCCTTGTAATTATCTATATAATATTGTATATCTATGTATAATATATTTATATATATTATATATATTGAGGGGTTATTTTTCAGAATAAAGAATTTCAGTATTTCAAAGCTATTGAATTTCTGCCATGCTGAGTAGATACCATGCAGAAAAGAGCAACTGCTCATAGCAAAGATCAAAGGAGTCCTAAGACAGGCCTGTCACAATTCATTCTACTTTTTTATTACTCCTGCTTGACTTTTCTAACTGTTCAAGCAGCTAAAGGTAGGAAGATAATAGAAAATTAACAAAAAAAAGAGAATGTGTGTCTGACTGCTTTGTCCATTCATCTCTGTTTCTTAACCAAGGGATCCAGTATGTTCTTGTAGCCAGCATGACTATACACCAAAGGCATACGGAACACTGATATTCCCACTGAAGCGGCACCTATTTATCTATTCACGTTTGCATGCTTTCAAACTGTTAGGTGGGCGGCAGGACCTGGGGCAAGCTATGTGAGCTCATCATATCAGGGGGTGCTCGAGTCTCGAACTCAGACTGTCAGGTTTCCAGCTGACAACCCCAGTGGCTTTAACTGCTGAGCCATCGCGCCCCTCAATAGAAAATCACCATTTCTCTCTCTTTTGGTTTCATGTAGCAGCCAATGACTGCTTGAAGAGAATATTGAGGGATTATGAATAACTAGGCAAGATGGCAAGAATTCAAATGATGCAAGTGATGCTTTCATCCATATTTCCAATAGACATGTTGCTGCTAAGAACTAGAGCATCAACAAGGTACCCACTATTTGCATTCCTATCAGCTTTTCCTATTGATGCCTAACTTGCATTATTGATACAACACACTGCCTCGTGGGAAGTAAACTCATTTACTGAATAAGCCCAGTTTCCTGTGCTGTCACAACACATGGAGCCATAAATTAGCCAACCACATTTTGGCCTAGCATCTCATGTAAACCCAGCCTAAATATGGTTGCTAAGAGGACAATTCAAGTCCTGAGAATATTAACCATTCTAGAAGTTGCTAATATAGAACACTGGATGAGAAGCAATTTCAACAACACTCTAAGAGAAGAGGGCTTGGTAACCACCCACAGAATCTTCTCAGAACGGCATCACTTTCTCCCTAGGGTAGGGAAAGAGAGAAGTGAAGCCCTAAGGTAAGAAGTAAAACAAGCGTACAGAGGCTTCCTATTGGCCTTCCAACAGGACTGAGGGAAAATCTATTGTGCTCAAGCTTCTCTTTCTTGACATTCTTGAATGAAAGCATTAAAGTATTAATAAATATTGTAAACTGCCTGGAGTCACCTATGTGTGAGTTGGGTGGTTATATACATTTGTTTAATAAATTAAAAAATGAAATGCATGTTTCTCTGTCCCGATAAACATTTTAAGTACTAAGTAAAATTATTTCAATAGGTAGGAAGAATAAAATGGATGCAACTAAAACAAAATACTGTTTATTTTTAGTAAACCAGTGTTTGGAAGGATTCTTACTGTGGCATCCAAATGTAAGTTTACTTAGGAGTAAAACACACTATAATCCCTGGGTAGCTCTGTGAATTGGTTATATAGATCAAGATGCATATTTTTGTATCAAAACCCAGATTTGTAATAGGTAGAATATAATACTATCTTGCCTATTCAGATATTTTAACCAGTCCTTTGAGTTTCTGTTTGCTTCCAGTTCTTCCTTTTACAACAGCCCAGAATCTTTTCCCCTAGTTTGCCAACTCAGCCTCATCCCCTAGCTTGCAGTCCTGAGTAGTATAGCTAATTCTGTTGCAAGATACTTTCTTTGTCAGAAAGAGAAGATTGACTTCTAAATCTGCCTTTCCAGATACTATTAAACCAAGCTAATATATATATATAAATCATTATATATTTTAGCATACATTGGAAAATATGACCCCCCCCCAAATTGAATATATTAAGAAAATCTGGAAAGTCTGGTGTACATATACAAATTCTTATATTTCCCCCCCCCCCGAACTACAATGATCCTAGACTAGATTTTTTCAGAAAGGACTTATATTTTCTCTGAGGAAATCTAAATCTGACAAACATAGGAAAATCACCTAAAAATCATTGAAGCATGAAGTTAATTTGTTCACATCTTCACATCTATTAATGGTACACATCTACTGTATCTTTGCTTTGTTTATGTCCTATATTCCACCGAAGAAGCCACTTAAAGGAGTCTTCTCAGAAAAAAACCTCTCCATTCCCTCTTAATATTTTTACCCATTTGCATTAGAGAGGAAAGCAGGTTTTTTATAAATTTAATACAGAGAAAAAAGTTTATTATTTTTAATGATTTATATACACTTCATTTGTTCTTGGTTTGTAGTCATGCAGATTTTACAAATAAATATAACACACAACTTTGCAAAATCTGTTTGACCACAGAAGAACTGTATGCAGCTTATCCAAACAGAAATATTAATTTACCAAGCATTTCCATTTCTAAAAAGAGCAATTTGTCTATAAGTTACTGCACGTTTTCTGACTGTTGTTTAAAGAGCAAATATAGGATCCAATTTAAACATAAATGCAAAAACAAAACTGAAAAAGCCTTCAATCTGTTAGAATCGGATAGACAAAAAAATTATAGAAAATTTCATCCACATGTATGCAATAGAAACTATACAATGAATGTACTATGTAATATGTGTTTAACACTCCAGAACTGGAAAGGTAAAAACTGCCTTTAAATAGGAGAACTGAAAATCTCTTCAATTAAAACTGTTGCGGTGAAGCATAAAAAGAATCACCAGCTAGGATGAATACAGATATTATGAAGGACGTATAGAACTTTCTCCAATCCACAACCTCTGTATGCATTGGATTATAGTTCCCATTGTTCTGGTCCTTAACCGAGGACAATAAGAGCTAAAGTCTAACTTCAAGAAAACAGAAATATTGTTTTAGTTCCTTAATATCTGCCATGATTTTTTAAAAACGCCATTTGATCTTGTCAAAAATATTCACTGCTCTTTCTGAAATAGCTGGTCCTTTAATATGAGGATTGCTTTTGCTCTTTTCTAGTTTTTCGCCTTCCTTTTCCTACTAGAACTTCTTTCTACTGTTGAACAATGAAATAATCAAGTTATGAGACATTTTACACAGTAGACATCCTGTAAATGTGGATCTGCACATGCATTCTGAACTTCTTCAAAAATTCTTAAAGAGAAATAAATAATCCTGACTTGCACGCTGAGGCTACTTACACTTTCTTTGAAGTGCCTTTGTTTCCTCTTCTATTGCTCCTGACATACTGGCAAAAAATTAAAATTAAGTATTACTCTGGCAGCAGTTTGAATATTTTATTATTACCTGCTTAGCTTGCCTAGTCATTTATTTGTTTATTTTAAAGTATTAAAATCATAAAAGATAAATATTTCAAAGATGATAAAAATTTTTACAATCAAAGATAAAATAAATAAAAGATAACTAAAAGGGGGAAGGAGCAGGCTGTGCACTAAGGGGGAGGTGGACTGCCTCTTAATTAATCAATTAATTAATCAGTGCAGTGAGGTGCTCCCCTATTGGGGCCCCAAACCATCTGGCAGGCCCTTATGGAAGGTCAGATGGGTGGGATTTCACCTTAGGAGATAAGATGTTCCAAAAGGCAAGAGCTACAGCAGAGAAGGTCCTTCTCCTGGACCTGGCCAGCCAACATTCCTTGACTGATGGGGCCTGCAGCACGTCTCCCCTGCTGGCGTGAATGAGGTGGATTAATCCCACTGGGGTGAGATGGTTCCTTAGATAATTTGGAACGATGCCACGCAGGGCTTTAAAGGTAATAACCAACGCTTTGAATTGTACCCAGAGGCAAACCAGCAGCTGGTGCAGCTTTCAAAGCAGTGGTATAACATGGCCCCCTAGAAGCCAAGAACTGCCTCTGTACTCTGCACCAGTTGACGCTTGTATGGCTTCTCGTATGGCTTCTCCATGCATTGGATCTATCATTTTTTTCTCATTTTTCTTTCTTCCTTCAACTGCAGTCATGAGGATTTTATGAATGTGACATTAACCAGAAGGCGCTCTTTCATCACATATTGTGGTTTCTTCTGTTGGGATTGGAGAAAAGTCAACCTCATATTTAGACTTTTTTATCCAAGTCCCAGTCAAGTTGGAATACACTTTCTAGGTAAATGAATATAATAATAATAATAATTGGAAGGGACCTTGGAGGTCATCTAGCCCAACAACCTGCTCAGGCAGGAAACCCTATACCATTTCAGACAAATGGCTGTCCAGTCTCTTCTTAAAGACTCCCAGCGTTAGAGCATTCACAGCTTCTGGAGGCAGGTTGTTCCACTGGTTAATTGTTCTAACTGTCAGGAAGTTTCTCCTTAGTTCTAGGTTGTTTCTCTCTTTGGTTAGTTTCCATCCATTGCTTCTTGTCCTGCCTTCAGGTGCTTTGGAGAACAGCTTGAGGCTAGCATCAAAAACATTATGCAAGGCACGTCTCCATTCCTATTATGTCATTAAGCAAATAAATTTTGTAGCATCATTAACTAAATTCAGTTCCAGCTAGAGAGAGTGAGAGGCTTTCATATAATCTTTTTTCATAGGGATCAAAATAAATTAAGCCTCCCTGGAAGGGTAGCACTCTCTGCTGCTCAAATTTGGGCAGCAAATTATTTTGGGTGGTTTCCTGCACTCAGTTAGCAACTCTCATTTGGGGGAGGGCAGTCTGGAAAATTGCTTTTTGCCTTGTAGTTTCAACCAGGTTAGCAAGTGCTAGAACATGGAGGCATCCTCGACTTTTTGCCCCTCTGGATTTGACGTTTTAATCTGAAAAGAGAGGTGTGGTTGTGAGGGATTAACATAAAGATTTTTCACAGTGAGAAAAAAGAATCAATGATTGGCACAGAGAACAATGTCTTTTTCTCTGTTTCTCAATAAGAAGCTGTTTCTTTTCTCCATCATCTGTTTGTAAAAAGGTTCCAACATGGTCTTGGTAAGACTAATAAGGACCAAATCAAGTCCACCAGCCAGAGGTTCCTTATCAGAATTGGAGGTGGAATGAATCCAAGCGCAATACACCCATTTAGTTACCCCTATTTGTCCCCCACCACCACCATTAATTTTAGAAAAATCAGTTGTATTCTTCCTTGTGATATTACTATATCACTGCCACATCTGCTGTGGCTCTTTGAGGTTGAACATATTATATTAAATCCTGTCTGCAGCAATGTGGTTGTCTCAAGTTACAGTGTTCAAGGAAATGTTAGCTCTTCACTAAAGCAATATATTGAACATTTGGAGAAGTTTATCTTTTCATCTCTGGACTGAGATATTGTAGGTGAATAAATTAGTATAAGGATCTCTAGAAAACTATTACAGCTTACCTGAATCAAAACAATTATTTCAACAATAACCACCATCGTTGTTGCCATCGAAATACCCAGCATCAACTTTTTGTAATACCTAGATTGTGAAATTCCCTGCCTTGGTATCTGCAAAGTTAAACAAAGAGAAGGAAAATGGAAGATGGGCCTTCATATATTTGAACATTTTCTCCATCCTGACTAATGATATAGAGAGCAATGTGTACTCATTGGTATATATCAGACTGCCTTATAACAGTTGGGTTCTCAGATAATGCTAAGCTAGTAGTTGGTTATTTTGAATATCTTAGCCACATCACCCCATCGGTATAATTTAGGAACAACTATAGTATAAACCCACAACTTAAATTTATGGCTTATTATCTTGAACCTAGAATCCTGGTTTATTAGTGGTTTATACTTTGCCATACCCAAGGCCCTTATCAATTCATGATAAACTCAAGGCAAGACAAAGGCAAGTTTCAAAACTCTTGCTCTCTCTTGTAATTTTCCCTGGCAACTTTTTTGCCATCTTGAATACCAGACAGATGGAAGAATCTGGAATTTGTATGTCAAATCACCTATTAGCCCCACAAAAACTAACAAAATACCCCTTTCATTAAAAAAAAATGTAGTTATTTTGAGGAAAAAAACCCATGGGCAGAGTCTTATAAATGCATGCTCATAATAAACCCACTTTGGAATTATTAAATTATAGTGAACAGCAAGAGATAAATTTTATAAAAGGTAACTTTACAAAACATTAACAAAACTCTTCATAAATCATTGACAAAATATAGTCCTATAAATATAGATGGGGAAAGTATTATTGCTGCTAGGACATGGGAGATACCATATGTGTAAGGGTTAAAAAAGTTTTAAGAAGTAGGCAGGAAATAGATAAAATAAGTGATGATTATGTGTAATACTGTGTATAATTTATTGGGAAAAATCACAAAGTAAATCTTATTTAATATTATGTGAATATAGATACTATGCATATTGTCCAAGTTTTATTTTCATCTACTATTAAGTTTTTGCAAAATTTAGCACTAAAAAAAATCTTCAGCTATTCCTGACAATATTCATTCTGTTTCTTTGAAATAGCATGTCAAATTTCAAAAGCAGTTGATAAATCACGCCCAAGACAATGATACATCATCATCATTATTATCATTTTAGCACAGGGAACATTTGACTATGCCATTGCTCAGTACATCTATTTTCTTTAATGACCAGTTATTATCTTTGTGAAACAAATATTGCAAACACTTGCAGTTCTTTTAATCTATATAAAAGCTCCCTTCCCTAGAAAAGAAGTACATTTGGATCCATTTTCATTTTAAAAGCAATAAGTTATGCAAATTTAGATTTCTTAAAACCATATCATCCTATCTCAACTTCTGATTTAATTCTGATGAACCTCATTCTGCTTTTCTTTATTTTCATTTTTCAGTTATTTTAGCTTCGTGCGATATGCCGCACTCCCAAAATGCTGATCACTATCTGTAAGAACATTACTTATATACACATGTCACTTTCTCTTGAGTACAGACATGGAAATCAGGCAGAGAAGTGATCTCCGCACATGCACATTACTTTAAACAACCTAACAAGACTTTTACTTAAAAACAGTAATTGCCTTTACAGAAATGCATGTGCAATTAATTTATACCCATTTGGTCTCCTGGAAAAAAAAGACACATCTAAGCCATCAGATGTTGATAAAGCTCCTAACAGTGCACTTGTTAGGACTACTTATCTAGGTTTCTCTTTACCTCATCAGAAAGTTTATCCATTTTTCTGGAGCTTGCTGCAATCATATCATTTACATTCTTAGGGGGCGAAAAGTAGAAGTTCCATAGAGCAGGTGTCTCCTGGCTACTTTTCACATTGAAGTCTTTCATGAGAAGATCTATTCTAGAGCTTAATTTAGCACAAGCCATCTGGATATTGGACTCTCTGCAGGTCACATTCATGATATGGATCATGAGGGAAATAAGTTTCCTGATAGGCTTACTTGGAAAGATAGATGCCAACCCCTTGTTCAACTCAATTTTATTGAGTTCATCCTGAATCAAATTATCAGCAGTGTCTCCCAAAAGATGAAGCAAAGGGGAAGTAGAGGTGATTTGTTCATGATGTTTCCAATGTGTCTTATGAGACAATGTTATATCAGGCGAGAGTTTATTCAAAGTTTCTGACTCCTCAGCACTGTCATCAAGCACAACAGAAGCAGTCAAAGGAGGCAGCTTAGTTGGAAGATGAAAAATGGAGCAGTTCTTTAAGGAATGAAGTGCTGCTTGAAGAAGCCTGTTAAAGGAAGCAGCCTTCTGAAGCTCCAGTTCCCTTGATAGCGTCCCCAATTTTTCTGCCATGGTATACAAAGCAAAATTTCTTTGCTCTCCTGCAAGTTTTCCAGTGGTTTTTGCAAATTCTACGTTTTCTCTGAGCAACCTGAGAAATAATTCTTTTTCCTCTGGATTTTTCCCAATCCAATGATCTCTCTTTACCCTTTTCAGGTGTTCCTTAAATCTTTTCCGATGGCTTTTAGTGCTCAGGATGATGTTACCATAATCTTCTGAAATTTCTGTAGGCAATTCCTTTTGGATCTCCAACGCTTGAGTCTCCTGTTCGCTTTCTGCTAATTTTGCTTTGAGAGCTACCAGTAGCAACTTTGTTAACTTGTACAGCTTTTTCAGCTCGTTTTTATCAGACCACTTCACATCCACATATTCATCAGGGGTGAGTTTACTTAATCTGATGGCTGATTTTAAAATATGTGGTCTGTGTTTATGAAAATGGATACCTAAATGAGTACGCCCATGGGTCATTAAGAGTGACAGAGTGACATTATAATGTTCAGGTTTTTCAGAGATAATATTTAATATGTTGGTAGAATTTAATTTTCTGGTTTCCAGTACTTTCTTTACTTCATCTTGCATGGTTCCCCAAAGTTCCTCTTTCTCTGGTCAGAAAGAAGAAAAAGGAGGAGGTCAAAAAAGGAAACAGGATTTTTCTTTCACTGGTAGCAAATACTATGGGTAGAACAGATAACTGAATTTGTTAGATATGTATCAGTTTATCCAATTAGAATTAGATGTGGCCTAGAGTTCAATCTGGTACCCATTTAACCCAGGATTAGTTCCAATTACTATTAAGCAGACATGTTTCAGACTACACAGTGTATGTTAAATAACCAGTGCAGATCATCTTGACATTTGGATGTTTAGGTGATATTAAAAACTGGCTTGCTTGGCCTAAGACAGGAATTTGTGGTGACAATCTGTTTGAATACTAGAACCATATAGTTACTCACGGTAGAATTTTGAGAAGGAAAGTATAGTTTGCCATAGATAATATGTGGTCATTACATAGATCAGGTTTGATCCATGGACTGTACCAGTCTTCCCCATACAAAATAGAAAGCACAGATCATGGAAATCTCAGCTAAAGGCTATCTAGATGGCATCAGATTGAGAAAGGCTGGACCACCTAACATAATCTTTGGATTAAGATGAAAAATCATAAATTATAAATGTTTTTACTATTTTCTGCTAACTCAAGTTAAAAAAAAATCTGAGAATAAGAGATAATATCTCAGTTATCACAAGTCACAAGATGGAGAAGGAAGAACTACCCTGAATTCCAGACCTTTAGTTCCCTTATAGTTAATGACATCCCTTAATCTACTTCGCTTAGACCGGGCAATTAGAATGCTGGACTGGGTGATCAAGGAGGCAAGCCTTAAAAAGATAATGTAAGATCTTTTCAGTAGAGATGGGAGGAGCCCATGTGGCTATTGGCAAAAGGGGCTCTGTTAATCTGGGAGTTTATCATCTTTGGTCTTGGATGGAGTTGCACTACCCCAGGCAAATCTGGTGCATAATCTGGGAATTCTCCTGGATTCGTGGCTCCTCCCTGAAGAGCAGGGGCCAGTTTTGCCTAGGAAGGCCTTTGCTTAACTTTGTGTTGCGCACTAGTTATACCCTTTCCTGGGGTATATACCGGAGGCTCTTTGCTTGGTCATACCCTATTTGCACTATTGCAATGATCTACATGGGACTATCTTGAAAAATATCTGGAAGCATCAACTGGTAACAGCTGTGCAAGTAATCTTGGGTGTCCCCAAATGCACGTAACACCCCTGCTGCATGAGTTGCATTGAACGCCAATTTGCTTTCAGGTCCAATTCATGGTTTTGGTTATGACCTTTAAATCTATACATGGCATGGGGTCAGATTACCTGCAAGTGTGACTTTGCCCCATTGCATCAGCCCATCCCGCTCAGGCAGGCAGGGAGGGTATGTTGCAGATCTCATCAGTTAAAAGAATTTTGACTGGTGGGGTCCAGGAACACAGCCTTCTCTGCTGCTACCTCCACCGTTTGGAATGTTCTCCCCACAGAGGTGAGGTGGGCCCCCATTTTTCTGAAGACCAGGCTCTGCCATATTGCTTGGGGCTCAAGCTTGTTTGAAGACCCTCCTCCTTATCTTTTTCACTTTGACTTTTTATTATTTTGCCTCCCAATATTCATAAGCAGTTTTTATATTTTACTTGTACACTGCCAAAGTTTCTCTCTGAGGGAGATGGACATTTCTAAATTAATTAAAATAAAATAAAATAAACCTATCACTTCCACAAGCATTAATATATTGAATGAGACACCAGAAATAATAAGAGAATTTAAGAAAAAAAAACCTGTCTGGCTTAATCAATTTTATGGTGCATGTTAATGCTTGGTTATGCATCCATTTAATATGCAATCAGTAATTTGTAAATCAATCAATCAGTTCTCCCACACTCATGTATTGTTCTATCACTGGATTTTTGCCTAGGTTAGAACTGTAAAAGGATTGGAATGGATGCAAAATATTTTGGAAAAGTGCTTTTGGCTTACCATAATCAATAATGTTTGACACACATCTATTGGTGCAATCCAGCTTGATGGTATTAGATGAGGCTTCAATGGTATCCTGATTTTTGCAAAGGCAGCAGGACATTTTCCTAGGCAAAATACTGTGGATGAAAAAGGACAAGGGCTTCACAATTTTTTATTATTAGTTCTACAAGCTACAATGATATTTAAACTCCAAGTTAAATCTAGTCCTTTCAATCGGGTGCCACAGTTTAGAACAAGCACAAGGAAAGATCTCTCTGTCCTTGTAGCTCAGAACTGGGTTGAACTAATAAGGAGTTAAGATACAGATAGCAAACAATGGTAATAATTGCTCCCCATCATGGGAGTATAACAATATCTATCTATTAGTCAGATATTATATTTCAATGCAGTATTAGTCAAAAAGATGAAGCAAAGAGCTTATTACTAGAGTTAAGTTGTACAGGCAGGAAAGCAAGTATTGAAGTTTCTTAGGACTTGTGTATCTAGAATTCTACAGAAATTTATGCAGGCTGGTATTACAACTTAAGAGACTGCTCTTAAATTCAGAATTTAGGTATAGCGGTAGAATCTTGCTGGAATCTGGATTTATCATATCCTTGTATATTTAAAGAGTACAATTGCTCAGGAGTTAAAAGATGTGAGATTGTCAGTTGGAAAGGTGACTGCCCGTGTCTGAGACATGAGCGTCATGCAATGAAGTGAGCTTCTGCTCTTGCCCAATAATGCCAATCCGCCAACCTAGCAATTCAAAAGTATGCAAATGCGAATAGATAAATAAGTGGGAAGGTAACGGTGTTCCATGCGCCCCTCGGCTAGGAAACAGAAATGAGCACCTCCCCTAGAATCAGACTCCACTGGACAGGGGAAACCTTTATATTCCGCTTCTGGTACATTTAACTCATCAGTTCTGTCTAACTTTAACTGGCAGTAGGTCTTTGGCCCTGCTTCTCAAGGTCTTTTTAACTGGAAAGAACCTTTGCATCTACTGTAGCTAAAGTATATGCTCTGTAGGCTGATGTTTTCATGCCAGAAAACAGATATTCTACAAGAAACAAAACTTTTTTTGTAATGTTCAGAATTGGTAAGGAAAAAAGGATGAAGTTGCGATATGTGTTCTAGTGACAGATGAAAAGGGGGGAAAAGTACCCATCAATTCAATCCTTGATAATTTCAGATGGGACTGGGAAAACATTACAATCTTAGCGCTACCAATTAGCAATTATGTTTGCAGCACATTCTTCATAGTAAAGTCAATCAGAGTTCATTTAATTAAATCAATTTAATTTTCTGGGCTCAGTGACACTGTGACTCATAAAGCAATTACACAGACTAGATTATATGCTATCGTTGGTGTCAATTCTTACCAACCACATAGACAGACTTTCTCCAGGATGTTCCCATATAGCTTCTCAGGTCTTCCAACAATACATCAATCATGTTGTAATCTAGTCTATCCATATTTCTGATTATCCCCTTCTCTTTCGTTCCACATTTCCTAGCATTCAAGGGAGCTGGGTCTTCACATACTATATCCAAAATATGATAATATGGATTTGGACATGCCTTGAGTGAGAATTCTGGACTGATTTGTTTTATGTTCTATTTATTTTCTTGGTTATCTGTGATATTCTGAGGGATGCTCTCCAACATCAAAGTTCAAAAATATCAATATTCTTTCTATGTTATTTCTATCAAAGTCCAACTTTCACTTAATCTTTGTAGATGTGGACATACCACAGCATCTGAACAGCTCTTCATTGCTTCTTTACCAAGTGCTAGTCTATGGCATATGTCCTGATGGCTAGTTCCTTTACTGCTGATAATTAATCCTAAAACACAGAAGCTATTTACCTCTTCAACATCTTCATAGTCAATTCTGAAGTATAATATACCAGGCTAAAGCATAGTTGGCTTGTTTGTAATTCAATGTCATACATGCACAACCAAAGTAAACCAACTTTCTCCTTCCTAATGAGTTTCAAAATTGTTTGATAAGCTAGCCAAATATGAAATTCAAATATCTGGGAGGCTCCCAATTAGGGGCAGCTGGTTTAAACAATATTATTGTAGGTTGTTTGGGTAAGACAGATTTTTTATGCTTTCTATATTTTTTATGAATTTATGACTTATACTATGGTTTGATCACAGGGATTACTTTCTATATTAATTAATCTTTTTCCAGACCTCCAGAAACATCTGCTACAAAATCAATATGTATTAAAAGTATTTTAGGCACTTTTAATCCTAACTCCCTATCAGTGTTCACTGTTGCACATTCACATTCCTTAGAGGTTCCCGCTCTCCCCCTTTTATCTGCAATTTATGTTGTATATATGCAAAAGAGTAAGTTTGACAGCAATGTACAAGCTATCTCTAAGGGACTTTTACCTGCCAGTTTTGATGTTTCCATTAATAAACTTTAGTTGATAGGTTCTAAGGAACTCTGGCTTGTTTCGGGAAGCATTGTGGACAGAAAATATTCTGGGATAACCAACACGTCCACAGCCAACATTCATGACAATTGAGCATTCTCGTCAAGAAATAGGAATTAGTAGCGGCTTGAGCTACTAGTTTTAATATTAGTAAAATGCTCCCCATGAGAAAAATGACAACATCTGCACTGCCATGTTCAAAAGTGTGAGGAGGGGGAAGGAAGAGAAGGGGGAAGAAGGATAATATGGCCTCCTTCCCATTTTGCCCTTGGAAGTTACAGAAAAAGATTAGAGATACTTACAGAGTTTTCAGTTTTAAGGAGATTTTGAGCAAATTCTCTAGTATGTCTGTGGTTATTTCTGTGGAACCAAGGTCCCTGCAAAAAAAAAAAAAAAAACACGACATGGAGACTTTTCTAGATATAGGGAGAGATGGACAATTTGCAGAACAGAGCCTGGGAAAATAAATTCATGAAATTCAGTGGGAGACTTCATTTCATTGGTTATCTCTTGATTTAGTTTATGACTGGACTAACAACACAATTAACCAAGTTAAGACCTACCATCTACCTAGTCACATAATAGGCAAAACTAGGTTATTTTAAATCTTACTTTGTGCTTTTGTGGCTTAGCATGATATGCTGACAGTTCAGTATACCGAGCCAACACGATACACGTTCAGTAGCCATTTTTCATATTCATTAACCAATTTAAGTGTTGTGAACTCATTTTATCTGATTGGATTGTTCAAATATAAAATGAATAAATATTACTGTTTCACTGTACTGAGCTCCTTGAGGAAAAGGACACCAATAACAGTATGGTAATTTAACAGTAATCAAATGATTTGATCAGCTGCTCTAGGTAGGTAGGAATGGGATTGCTACTGCTGAGCAATACCTTACACAACTCTTCATCATGTAGAGTGGGAATGGAAAGTTGCCATGACTTAGCCCTGAAGCTGAATTTCAAATGCCGGGATGTCAATCCTGCCACATGTGAAGCAAAGCTTTAAATAAGAAAAAAAAATACACATAAAGATTTTCCTTTCTATTAAATAATCACAGCCCATCACGGAGATTATTGGCACTGGTTTCCATAGGAGTGTCAGAGTGGTTAAGATGCCAGTCTGGGCACGAGAAGACCTAAGTTCTAGTCTCCAATTAATTGTCTGAACTCCCTGAGTGACTTTGGACCAGTCACTCATTTTCAGCCATCCTAACCCACAAGGCTTTTGTTGTAGGAAGATAAAAAAAGTCTTGGGTTAAGTTCACACCAAATAAAAATGCTAATTGTTGATTTTTGAACAAGACTTGAACTTCAATGCTTATTCGAAAAATTAATTTGCAAATCAATTTGCCTAAAGTCTTCCAGTGGGTACAAAATATATTGGGATGATTCCCTTTGCGGTGTGCTGACACAAACACAAATGTAGAATTAAAGCAACTTCATGTAGTTCTATGGATGCGTTCATAAATTCCAGCCAAGATATGAGATCCAGGACTCAGGATTAAAACTCCATCAATAATATAGTGAAATGCTGCCAACTGCAAATACAATGTATACAAGGCTTTCTTACTCCTTTTCCTCTTCTGTATATAAATATATAATTGATGCCTATTTTGTTTCCTCCTCACAAAAATAACTCTGTGAGTCATCATCTTTTCCTTGAGACCTCAAGGCCATTTACCTGACAATCTCAATGAAGCATAGTTCTATTCTTCCTGTGGGATCTTTTTTTCCTGATCTGGACAATTTTAAAGGGCTGATAGCTAATGACTAGTCCATGGTTATGCTATTTCATGGCTGTAAGAAAATCTGGACCTGGGTATTTCTGACCCTGATCAAGGACCATATTGATCTCCAGAGGTAATAGCCCAAGCCAAATTAATCAGGAAAAAAAAGCTCCAGAGTACACAAAAACCCTTAATAAAAGCAAGAGCACACGTACAGGAATTTCAGTGAGGGCAATTTGTAGAAATGAGAATCCTCAATCTCTCTCAGTGGATTATGGTTGAGAATCCTGAAGGACAAAAGAGCTGGTTACCAGTTTGGCACAACTGAGGGTAGCAGAATAAAACAGGAAGAATTTGGGTAGTTTTCTTTTAGTCTTTGACCTTAAATAACTTTATTATTAATTACTAATCCTACTAGTAAGAAGTAATAAGCAAAAGAAATTAAAGGCAGGAGATCTGAAAAAAGAAATATAAATCTAGTTTATATCAGAACTTTTACTTCATCTCTCCATATTTTCATACCTTCATTTCCATGCTCATCCCATATTTTGCCTTTAAATTTTTTCCTTTCTCTCTTTTGAGACCTTTGTCAACTCCATCCAGTCATGTTTTCCTTTTCAGTCCTCCTTCTTCATGTATTTGCTTTGCATTTCAGTTCCCATTCAATCTAAACCATCTCAATATACTGTATCTCTTCCATATTGGCTAATTACTTTCGTGTTTAACCCTCATTTGCTCATCATTAATTCCTTATGAGCCCTATTTTTTTAAGAAGTAATAAACTCATTTCCACTGCATTTGACTTTTTATGTTTATCTGGCATACTTACTTCTCAATTCCAGTCAAAAAAGTGGCAGGAGCTTACTCTTATACTAAGCAACATTCCCTGAATGTTCAAGACTTACAGCCATTGACGGATCCTTCCTCCATTTCCCTTTAGAGCTACCAAGTTAATATTTGCTACTTCTTACCATAAGGTTCATTTTGCACCAGAGGAAATGCTATATTTCAGGTGCCCTAAATCTATTTCTAATTGTCCTGTTCTCCCCTTTCTTTTTTTCCACTCAATTAAAGAACAGATTCCTCCTACCACTAAATTTATTCGAAAGCTCCTATTAAAGAAATTTGCCCCTTTTTGAAAAACCAATCTCTCATTTCTGAGCATCTCCTTTGAGGTCAGTGTGATTGCATGTATGTTAAATGTAGCAAAGCCACGGCACTCTACTTGTTCTGTATGATTATGTGCTACATTAAGGGCATTTTAATAAGATTAAATATTGGCTAGTCTTTCCGCTGGTGAGTTCCAAGACTAATTAGAATAAGGATAAGGTATCTAGAAATTTGGTTTCACTGTCATGGCCTCTAATAATTACAGTTTTTCCTTTTCATGCCTTCCTTATTTTACTCATCTTAGGGTCACCCTCCACATTTTTATTAGGCGAGTGATAATATATTCCTAGATATGATTTACACTTGTACCCATATTTCCATTCATAGTGATTCTATGGAGAAATCTGGGCTTTCACTTTTTTCTAGCACACCGGACTCTGCTGTCCTTGATACAAAGAGGAATTTCCAGTGCACCTATTCTTGTCTTCTTTATAAAGGTTATCCAGGAATGAGCATATCTACTGGCTCTCTCTATTCTACATGCTAAATTTATGTCTTTATTTCAAAACCAAATACTATATTTTAATCCACCCCTTTTGACTTAGAGGAGTCTAGCATTGGTACAGAAACACTTGTGTACCCTATGTTCTTTTTGATGTGAGTCTTTTTCAGTCTTTTTGACTCCTTCCCATCACCTAACAATCACAGTATCCAGTGGTTCTCAACCTTTTTAATGCCGCGACCCCAACCGGTCGTAAGTCGAGGACTAAACAACCGGTCGTAAGTTGAGGACTAAACCGGTCGTAAGTTGAGAACTATCCGACCGGTCATAAGTCGAGGACTTTCCCTGCCCAGGAGCGCCGCGCATGTGTGGTGCCGCCCCCTGCGCCGGCCGAGGCATAGCTGGCAAGAGGCAGAGACGGAGCAGGCCGACCACCATCTGGACCAACAGCTGGCCCAGCCCAAGGAAAGTAAGGCACCCGCCGGGCCCCACACGCACCAGCAACCCTCCCTGAGCCCGCTGGCCTCCCACCTCCCACCCCTGGCCCTCTTTTACTTACATTTTTGGTAGTTGCTCAGCAGGGAGGGGTGGAAACTTCTAGACAGCTCGCCTTCGCTGCAGACAACTTGCAGCACCGTTTTCAGAATGGGACTTTTGGCGGGCTCATCAGGGCAGAGACAGCCTGGACAATTCCTATTGGCTTTTGAAAGCCAATAGAATTAGACTCTATTCAAGAGAGTCTATTCTATTGGCTTTTAAAAGCCAATAGAATAAAAGGGAGTAACACAGCTAAGGAAAAGGGGAAAAAAATGGCGGACTGCGTTGTTTGGCGACCCCCGTGAAATGGTCGTTCAACCCCAAATGGGGTCCCGACCCATAGGTTGAGAACCACTGCATTAAACCAATTTCATATTAGCCTATCTGTCATCCTGGGAGTGGGACAAACATAACCGACTATCTTTAAGTCTTCTCTAGAGACTTTTTTGATTCCTAAGCGTTTCATTTCATTTTAAAATGTACTAAAACCATAGTTTTAAAGAATAGATGTGTTCCCTGTGGGTCTGGATTTCATTGCACTGAAAACTAATAATAGATCAGAACACATAATCTGACCTGCTGGCTTTTTGCCGTCATATTCTTATGAATCATTTAGGAACTGCTCATATCAAGGTAGCTCATACTTTTGTTGAGTTTTGAGCCCTGATTTCCTCGTACAGTTGCTAAAGGTGTCTTGACACTTAGTCTCAGGAAGTTCATGCACTCCTCCCTATTACACTCCCACATATTTATTTAACTCATTCCATTCCTAAGATTACTCAATTACGGAAACAGGTCCTCTTCCAGTTAGCCTTTCTGCTCACTCATCTGGTTGAGGATTTCCAATTATCTGTCCTATTTCCAAAGACTGCAACCTGGGGCTAAGCTCTTGGCTGAGGAAGGTAACCCCATCCACAAGCCAATCTTGTGATCAGTAATCAGTAATCAGCTACAGCTTCCTGTCAGACCACTGTCCACAAACAAGCAAATACACAACCCAGTTGGCCAGAATAACAACACTGCCTCATCCAATAAGGTTAACAAATGAACTTGCTCAACACCCCAAATTCATCAACCCTAGCCCACCCACCCCGTGCCCATTTTTCTTCATAAGGCAAATATGAACTCGTACTTAAATTCTTATTCTTTGGTATCATTTCTCCCAAAATGATCCTATTCCATCAAAGGCTTTTTCCTCACACTTTACATACTGAACAATAATGCTACTTAAATTTGAGACATTAATGTTCTCCTGGAATTCTTTCCAATTTAGTGATCCTTTACTCACAGAGTTTTGAGAATGTGGTTCTGTTAGTTTATATTACCAGCTCACCTGTTTAAATTTGCAAATATTTCTACTACAGTGCTTACCTTTTTTGTTAAAAGCTAAGGTTAAAAAAATAGTGATATGGAGGGATCTTTCCTCCCTTCCCTCTCTAAGTTGTTTAAAAAAGAGGATTTCTGAGAAAATGCTTAGTATCTCAAAGGATTATCTTAAAGTTCTGCCACTGTATTTTGAGTGACTTGCCTTAAGGAAATATTGTAGCAACAATGAATTTAAAGACAGTTGCCATGCTAATAGCGCCACGGATCTCCACTTATTTGTTATATATTTGTATAGTTCAATAAGAATTCAACACAAAATTTAGTTATTCTTACCCCCAAGGAAGCAGTGTGGAATAATCATAGGTAGAACCAATGTTATGGGAAAAGTGGGATGTAAAGTCATAACAATGTAAGAAATGTAAACAATGTAAATATGCCCTGGTGGATTTAGAGATCAAGACATCTGTCTTGGAGACCAACTTAGAGACTGTTGGCTGTCCTTACTCAGAGGCCACATCTTCTCCTTCAAAAGAAAAGTGTTTGGGATTGAAATCCACCATACAAGTCTGCTAATCTCCTGAAAGCATTAAGGGAGAGCTTATGCCTCATTGCTAGAAACCATATGTCTCACCCACTATCTGAAAGAGTTTCATTTTCACTTACAACTTGGATAGAAACTGCATCCCGTGCCAAGCCTGAAAGGCCCCCTGCGTTATCCGCAAAATATGGTTGCCACTGAGATTGCTGGAAAGGAAAGGAAAGCAAGAGAGCTGTGGAGAGTGCCTTCCACTGTATAAAATAAAGAACAGATAAAATAATGCAGACCCAAAGTAACTTTTTTTCCCTCCTCGTTGAATGGGGAGGTGAAAATTGCATGCAGGATGAGGGTGATTTCTTTCTTTTCCAATGAACTAGCTGGATACTACCATAGACTTCCTCCAATTACCATGCTAGTTCTTCAGCCAATGCATATTTGGGATTCGGGTGTCATTACTTAATAGGACAGCAGAGCTCATGATTCAAAGGCCAAAAGAAATCCCCAGCAAGCAATATAGGTTTGACTATATTAGAGATTCTAAGTTCATAGTAAGCCCTGTAGCTCCACCAAAACACTTTGGTTTTTTTCTCACATATGGAGACTCAGCTCTGGCACTGGCAACTTAGGGCTGAATCTTGATCCACTCAGAGTTCAGTCTGAACTCATTACAATACTTCTTAGAAAATAGAAAATTCATCTTGTCTTACCTGGAATCATAGATCAAACCTCTAGAGGGAAAGCTGCCTCCTTCACCCTCCAGTCCAAGGTCCCCTTTCCCATTTAAAAAATAGTTGAAAGCAGGCCAACCTTTCAGTAATCAGTCATTGGCACACTTAAAGGAAGATTAATAGCCATTTGATTTCAATTTGCCTCCTTCCCCAACTTTCATCATGTTTTAAATTTTTTTTTTTTTTTTGCTTAATGACTTACATAGATTGCAGAAGTGGAACAGGTTCAAATGCATTTTTCTCAATGGTCTGGATTTGATTATGAGAGACATCCCTGTTTAAAAAAGTACACACATTATGTTACACCTGGAACAAATGTCAGCTCCATCGTTACCTCTCACAGTTGTTTTATGTGCTTTTCATTTATTTGCTAGGCTGTAATATGTAGTGTGTTTCTCCCAAAATAAGACCAGGTCTTATATTATTTTTTGGACCAAAAGACCCATTAGGACTTATTTTCAGGGGATGTCTGACTTTGCAGCTGCCCACCCACTCCATCCCACTATCTGGTTGCTCGCGGCTGCAACAGAGTAGGAGAGCTCATGTCACACTGGTGCCACCGCCACGAAGCGAGGTGAGGCGGTGGAGCTGCCCCACGCGCCCCGCACCTGCTTACTTCATGGCCCCTGTAGCCATGCCACTCTCCACTTGGCAATGTCCCCCCGCCCATTCAATAACCCAGCTGCCTTCCTGCCTCTTGCCTTTCACTCTCCTCCTGAGCCAGACTGCCATGCTATAGAGAACAGGCAGGGGAAACTCAGTCACCTTACCAGGTCCTCCTCCATCATTTTGGAACGGGGGAGGGGGGAGTGACGGCAAAAGGCTCCACTGCTGCTGTGCAACATCCATGTCCACTACTAGAGGGGCTTTCTTTGGTCCTGGCAGGCCCAGCTTCAGGCCCACTGCTGCAGATCATCTGTCCGGCAGCAGCTGCCTCCTCCTTCTTCTCTGCCAATTTTCCCATGGCTTATGCCATGACCAGATGGGGCAAGCCTCCCCTGCTGCCTCCCTCTGCCTGCCACACTCTTTCCTTTTGCAAGCAAATGAAGCTTTCCGTCATTTCTCCGTCCAGGCGAAAAGTGTTTGGGCACCTATAAGGCACTTGGAAACGGAGTGAACCACTCTGTTTCCAAGTGCCCCATAGGCGCCCAAACACTATTTGCCCAGAAGGAGACTGGAAGCTTCATCTGCTTGGGGCACTTGGAAATGAAGTGAATCGCTCTGTTTCCAAGTGCTCCATAGGCACCCAAAAACTTTTTACCCAGATGGAGAAATGATGGAGACTGGAAGCTTCACCTGCTTGCAAATGGGGCTCTTAGAAACAGAGCAAATCATACCATTTCCAAGCGCCCCATTTACAGGCAAACGAAGCTTCCAGTTTCCCTCTGAGCGAAAACTGCGCAGTGCGTCCGGATTGCCTGCCTCTTCCCGCTTCTGCCCTCAGACTTACTTGCATTGTGCCAAGCGGCCAGTGGGATGTGGCTGCTGCTAGACACCGTCAGCCCTCATGTGCTCATTGCCTCTTGTGCTGGACATATTCCCTGTGCTTATATTTGGGGTAGGGCTTATATTAGACCCACCCCAAAAAATCAGGCTAAGGCTTATTTTCTGGGTGAGTCTTATTTTGGGGGAAACACGGTAGCTTTAATAAAGTTTAACAAACCAATATATGGTGCATTGATGAGATAGGCATAGTACTTCACACACACCAAACCTCCTTGTATCATTGTTTTTTCATCCACTCCTTTATAGCTTATAGCAGCAGTATTAGTCATGGCAGCAAGCAGAATATTCAGTACAGGGAATTATAGCCCCACATACAGCCAGTTTGGTCTAGGCACAATGCTAGAAGCCAGGAGACTGTGAGTTATATTCCACCTTAGGCATGAAAGCTGGCTGGAACAAGTCTCTCTCTCTCAGCCCACCTCACAGGGTTGTTGTAGTAGAGAAAATAGAAGGAGGAAGGAGCATATTGTGAATTTGCTGCCTTGAGTTATTAATAAAAAGTAATAAAGGTGGTGTATAAACAACCTGTCTGGAGGGCATCAGCTTGAAGAAGGCTGCCCTAAAACTTTACAGATTGTCTGTCTCCCACATTGCTGCCTTTAAGGAAAGGTTGAAAATAAGCACATTTCTGCAGGGCTTTTGAGGACTGATGGCATATATTTGTTTTCATTTTATTTACTGTTTTTTTTACCCTTTATTGTATTTTTGTATCTTGTCGGTCACCAAGAATGTTATAATTGTGGTGGCATACAACTTTGTTGCCTAAGCAAATAAATAGGATGACGTCCCCCCAGAACTATAAGATTGGGGAACTCCACTGCCAATCTGCATAAGACGTCAAGTAGTAGGGAGAAATTTCTATATGGAGGGAGGTTGGTACCAGCAATCGCATCTAATCCCTAATCCCACAAGTAAGGTCTCGTACCCAGCTATCAAAAGACAGGACCCATTCTCAACTCAAAACATCACAATTCTGCTAACATAGCTTTGGTGCCATACTTCTTCATGCTCAGCCAGGTCTCCATAATGCATAGCAAGGTGGCTGCCTGAGGATCAAATCTAAAATTAGGGTTAGGGCTTTATTAGAAATCAACCTATCTGTAAACACACTATAGAAATGGAGGAACACTACCCACAACTTAACTATAAATTTATACTTGAAAAAATCCCTGAAGCTACTGAGCTAATGAATTCCAGATTGAAAGACAAAGGTGTCACCCTAAATTTACAAAATGAAGCCCAGATCTTAACTGTTGAATCTATAATCCAAAAAGCAATAGAAGAGCACCAATTACAATCTACTGAGAACTTTGATAATCAAACCTTGATTTCAACTAAAAAAATCTACAATTCAAAAAGCAACAGAAACTGAAGAAAGCAACACTAAGATGGAGGATGCTGAAGATAACAAGTACAGCATATTGAGAACCTAGACAACCTAGCCAACCAAACAACAATCACAACATTAGACATGACTTCTTACTTAAGCCAGATGAAACCGGAAGAAGAAGACCAGACTGAACTGACGACAAATATACTAAACCAAACATGGAGATTTGAACCATTAGGCCAACAATCCAATGATTATAAAGGGGCCAGTTCCTTTGAAAAAATGATAAAATAAGATAATCTTTATTGTCATTTTTTATACTGTGGGCACAACGGCACACATCAAAAATGAAATTTAGTTGCCCGCTCTCAAAGTGAAACACATACATGACACACACCTAAACATACTATGAACAACATATGTACAGACCCACATCCCTACATATACGTAGCAAATAAATATTAAATACTGTCCATTTTGAATATATAACGGAAGGAGGAAGCTTGAGAGTTCACAAGGTTAATGCTGTATGGGATGAAACTATGGCTGAATCTGGATATTCTGCTATGGATACCACGAAGCCTCCTCCCAGAAGGTAACAAGGAAAACAGGATGGTCTCCCTTGATTCAAATAACATGTGTGGGAATGAAGGGAGATTCACTCAAGGATTTAAAGGCACTGGTATGGAAGCCTGCTTGGCACAAAAAGAAAGCTAGAGTCAGATTTAAAAAATGGGATTTTTTGTCTTGTAATGGAAGAGCCTAAAATCTTACTTAATGGACTAAGGAGATTTTAATAGATATTAACTGATTTAATATTTAGGACTTAGATTTACAATACTTTATTAGTAAGTGATGAGGTACTAGGATGAGAAATAAAATATATTTGTGAAATAAAGTAAGAATCTATTTAAGTAAACAGGGAATTTTTGATGATGCAACCTGAGATATGTACGAAATATATTGTTATTGGACTATTGATTACCCAATCACCACACTGCTTTCTTAAAACTTGGATTTTTGTAAAACTGGAAAATTAATAAAACTTGTTTAAAAAAAAAAAGAAACCAACCTGTTATTCAAAAGCACCAGCCAGAGTCCAAAACCACTTAAGGAAATTGGGGATGAGCACAGGGAGTCAGGACACAGAACTAATACAGTACATTGAGGCTGTATTTTCTGTGGACAGCCCACTCTCTACCTCCAACCCTCTCTCACTGCCCATCACATTTCTACCTGCCCCCAAGATCCCCCCCTTCCTGGCCCTTGCCCCTTGTGATTGGTACTAGGAGGCTTTTGATAGGCATTGGGTGTCTTTGGACACAAACCACATGACTTTTCCATCCAATCATCTAATCACCCACTGCACTTCCACATTCCCTGCTCTTATAAAGAACAGAAGGTAAAATAACAGCCACCCACCAAAACTAGGGCAAACTGCTACCCCCTCCAACTCCCAACATGCAATGAATTAGGCAGTCAAAGCTTTTGTTATCCTTAAACCACTGTTAAATTCAAGCAACATATCTATATCCAAGATTTCCTAACTAAAGGTTCCTTTAGCCTTTGATGAAATCCCTGGAAGCAGAGTAGCAAAATCTTAAGAAGACCATGAGATCTTTGGACACAAGTCTATTTTGGCTGCTCTAGTATCCTCAGATCCCTTCATGATGTGAAGTAGATGAAATGGCTGCCTTCCCCTTCCAGGCACTGTCACAAACAAGGTAAGATAGCTACTATCCGTTTAAGCTAATGAAAAACCATGGCTGACTTATGAGGTCCATAAGATGCTTGAAAGCACGGAATGTGGCTTTTAAATCTGGCGGTATGCTGCCACTTAGAACAGCCAGAGTTAATTTGAAAAGTGCCATAAAAGGAGCAAAGCAAGCCCATTATCAGAAAATTCAGAACTTTTTTCAGGACTCTACAAACACCAGGCGCATGTGTCAATGCTGCTAACATTGGATGTTCCTGCTTTGACAACTGATGAAATGCAGCCATTTTCTCTTCTTCTTCAACATGCCTTTTCTGATATTTAGAAATTAGGTTTAGTAAGGGGGGTTGGGATGAAAACTCAATTCAGCTAGCATAACAATAACTCTGCTTTGTGGGAACCCAAGAACAAGCTGATAATGTTTTGGCGGGCTGAGGAGCTGGGGAGAAAGCCCACGTTTTAGGCTAATTGGAGAATGTGATTTATGACAGCTTATTGGGGGTGGGAATTACACTTTGTTACTTTGTATCTGGGGGAAGGGAATTTAGTTTTTGGGTTCAACTATGTAGTGCCGATACTTTGTTTCCCCAAATAAAATGTTCTTTGAGGAAGAATTTTGCCTTGGAGTTCTTTTGATGGGTTTCATCTATCAGAACCATGACAGCATGTAGTAAGGAATACAAACCATCAGAGATTATAAGGTAGCTCCATGAAGATGCAAGGGTAACAGACTTCTTAAACGAACTAAACACAGTTTTTGGAAGATTTGAGGCATCAAATAGCACCTGTGCAAGAAAAGTTGTGCCTTATCCTGACGAGCAAGTTCTTAGCTTTGATGTTACCTCTATCCAGAGAACATTGCAGAAAGTTAACATCTGGAAAGCAGCAGGCTCAGATAATATCCCTGGATGTGTTCTTAGGGAATGTGCAGATGAGCTGGCTTGCTTTCTTACAGATATTTTCAATCTCTCATTGCAGCAGTGGCTCCATTATATTTTAAGATAGCCATTATTTTGCCAGTGCCAAAAAAGTTTACAGTTACAGATCTCAATGATTACTATTTAGTTGCATTTACAACCATCATTATGAAATGTTTTGAGAGGCTGATAAAGGACATTATTGTATCTAGTCTCCTGCCAGCATTTGACTCGCTTCAGTTTGCTTACTGACCAAATTGCTCTACAGAGGATGTTATTTCTTCTGTTCTCTATCTGAGCTTAAAAGAAATACTCATGTATGAATGCTGTTTGTCGACTTCAGTTCAGCATTTAATGAAATCATTCCTCAGCATCTAGTAGACAAACTGGGTCTTTTAGGCTTTAATATTCCTTTGTGCAACTGGATTCTTGATTTTCTTATTTACAGGCCCCAGTATGTGCGAGTTGGGACTAATATTTCTAACACCATTTTCTTGAGCACAGGTTCTCCTCAGGGCTGCGTCCTAATTCCGCTGCTGTTCAGCATGTGGACCCATGACTGTTGTGTCAGGTTTGCCACCAACCATATTGTGAAATATGAAGATGATACAACAGTAGTGGGCCTTATTCAAGATGACAATGAGAGAGCTTACTGCAAGGAAGTAGAGTCAGGTGAACTGGTATAAAATAGCCTAGTTTAAATGCTGGAAAAACTAAAGAGATCATTATAGATTTCAGAAAAGGCAGGCACAGCCATACTCTTCTGTATATTAATGATTTACCTGTGGAGATGGTTACGAGCATTAAATTTCTGGGTGTGCAGCTAACGAATAGGCTGGCTTGGTTGCTCAACAGTGAGACACTGGTGAAGCGGGCACAGTAGCACCTGGATTTTCTGTGTTGCATGAGAAAATCTTCCCCTATCCTTACCACTTTTTATAGCGGGACGGTCGAGAGCATCCTGTCATTTTTCCTTGCAGTCTGGTCTGGAAGTATCACTGCTTCAGACAGGAAGGCATTGAAGAGTGGTGAGGATGGCAGAAAAGATTATTGGCAGTTCCCTCCCTTCTATTCAGGACACAGCATATAAGTGTTGCTTGAGCAGGGTCCGTAAGATTGTCTGGGACACTACACATTCTCTTCACAATCTGTTTTCCTTGTTTCCTTCTGGGAGGAGGCTTTGTTGTATCCGAAGCAGAACATCCAGAATAAGTCATAGTTTTGTTCCATACAGTATTAACTTTATGAACTCTCAAGCTTCCTCTTTTCGTTATGTATTCAAGATGGACAGTGATTAATATTTATATGTATTTATATGTAAGGATGTAGGTATATACTTATGGTGTATATAGTATGTTGATATGTGTGTTATGTATATGTACACTTTTGAGAACAGGCAACAGAATTTCATTTTTAATGTGGGCCAGTGTGCCCACAGTAAAAAATGACAATAAAGGTTATCTTATTTTATTTTAAGCTCTCACCAGGGTATAGTCCTCAAGGCCCCCACCCATACTCCATTTCTGGGGGAAAAATGTTCTTATGAAAGGCGCAAACCCCAAAAGCTAATGCTAATGGAATGTTATTTCCCACAAATTCTTATGTGGTTTTTGCAACAAAGAGTGTAGCTATTGCAAAACTTTCTCACAATGTTACATTTCCTAGAATAGAGCTTGACTGAATAATCAGCCCTTAAAAGTATGTCCAGTGCTGGCAGATGCTGATTCAGTTCAAATTAACTTTGCTAGAAGGATGAAAATAATTCTAGAACACCAAACCTTTTAACTGTCAGCCTTCTTGATTCTGTTAACATAAGGCTGATTTGGACTGTTTTGACTATTTTCAATATAATTATAGGCATGTAAGATTATAGAAATTGTAAAGAAGAGCTAATGAATGTTGGCCTGGTTTGATTAGTTAATTGAACTGAACACAGAACTCTCAGCCAACCAACAGCCATTCGCTGGTCAATTCAGCGTCTTTTCTCATCCTGTCTTCTTTGGTCAATGCCTACATACACACTGATTCACCCTCTGCACAAAAATAATAATTTTAATAAATCTAATTTCCCTCCCTGTCTCTGTGCTCATTGGGGAGGTCATCTGGACACTTCTGCCTTTTGGCTTCTTCACCCAGGAATGCCAGCCTATCACTACTGAGCAATTTCAGTAATAGGAAAGCAGATGAGGCAATCATTTCAAATGAGAGCCAGGAATGCAGCTTCAAATGCAAGGAAGGAAATCACTTCTGCAAAAGGGAAGACCCAAGCCCAGAGAAATCATAGGACTAAAGAGTAAGCTTTAAAATTGTATGCCCTACTTATTAGAAACTTGATTAGGAGTTTGACTCAATTTAAAAGTGGGACAGTCCTTTCGAAGATAGCAAGTAAGACACTGCTAAGGTTAGAAACTTACAGATGTGTGAGTGAAAGCAAGCCATCTAGAGACGTATTATCCAGTCTGTGCAAGTGATTGTTCTTGAGAATCCTAGAGAGATGGAAGAAAATTTAGAAAAACATATAGACAAAATTGCAACCTTTCATTGTGGTGGAAGGTGGACACCATACTGTCCATTTCACTAGTTTATTTGCAGTGGTGAGACACTTGTGATGCATAGTAATCATCAAAGGCTCTAGTGGACAGGGAGCATTCCCCCTTTGCATCCAGCTACCTTAAGGATGACGTAAGCCCAGGTCACAATAAAGGGGATAGAAATGCATATTCCTTCCATGTTAGTTACATAGGATGAACATGAGAGTATACTCACAAGTATTCAGTCCAAGGATAGGCCCACCACACCCGTTTATTCATGGAAAAAATTGTGTTTCCAGTAAAATCCCTGGAGGGAAAAATGAATATAGGAGAATACAGTTCAAATGGATACTCCCAGCCAAGAACGTCTTGAAATAAGCTTCGTGTTCTATCTCTGATTTGTACACATTAGTCTTACACATTAAATGGAGATACATCTGAAAAGGAAATGGTACAACTCAAACCACTACAGAACCTTCTCAGGGACAGCCACAGGTATTTAAAGAAAAGCAGAAAAGGGGCTTCAGATGTTTTTCTCCTTAGACACATTCTCATCTTGTTATGGTGAACTTGTGATCTGGCAGCTCTAACCCTTACAAACAACAGGGATGATGGTGACAGTTGCAGTTCAGTCACCTCTGAAAGTCACAAGTTGCCTATAAGTAGACCTTAAAATGAAATATTAGGAAGAAACTGATCTTATGCTATTTCTTGACCTGGCTTTACATTGGGGTAAAGAGCTGCCTTGACCTTTCTGCTAAAAAACAAACCAAACATTAAACTAAACTGAAAATTGGGAACATAATAACTTTTCTGAGACCCATATTATACAGTTATGCTTGTTGTTTTGCTATATTCTTATGAAAATACAGCAGGCTTGGTCAAAATGTATTGGAACTATGGCTTCATTTTCTTTATCATCGCATGAATTTCCAAATTTCTAGATACAATAGAATAGAATAGAATAGAATTCAATAGAATTGGAAGACAGTTGCCTTTTGTGCCTAAAGTTGGCTAGAAATCAGAGTTTAATGATTTCTTGGCCAGACCTATAGCCATTGTATTAAACTGGCTCTTTTATGTAATAAAAACAGATAAAGTTCTGTTTTATTATTTTGTCACCTAATATGTATTGATACTCCTTTCTGAGTCTACATTGATGATTTTTATATGAATATATATGCAGATGTTTCTAAGTAATATAGATGAACACATTTCTTGAAATTTGATAATTATTTTTTATTATTTGATAAGCTGTAATTTTTTTTTAAAAAAAAAGTGCCTTTGGCTTTTCTAATAAACTTCTTTGCCTAATCTGAAATATAATCTTTGAGTATGTTAATAATGAATCCAAAGATCTATTTTATGCCCATCTGGGGGCAGTGTTCAGAATAAATATCTACTTCAGTTTCAGATTAACTTTTGAACTAGGTCCTCTCCAGATATTTTGAACTAAAAGAGTTATTAGGCTTCCAGAGCTATTGATCACATTTCCCATACCTGCAGTTAGAAAACCCATGTTAAATGGGGAAGATTGAGGCTGTAATGTAACAAATTGTAATACTGCCACTGCCCTTTGTAACAAACAAACAAACATCAAGCTGGTTGCTACCTCTTCTGTTTTTGTATGTCTTCAAGTCATTAATGACTGCCTGTACTAGTACCTGCAATTTTCTTGGCAGGATTTAGGAAGTGGTTTGCCATAACTTTCTTCCTAGGGCTGAAAGAGAATGGCTGGCCCAAAGTCACACCACCATTTAGAGTAAGGTAACCTTTAAGATATACAAACTAAAAAAATATATCCTGGCCTCTGGATATTACTTTTGGCTAGCTGATAAGGGAAGGGGATAGCAAAACAATTATTAAATCAGAAAAAAACAAAGGAAAAAACCCAACACCTCCCTCCCCAAAAGAAAGTCCAGCTGCCTTTTGAAAAATACACTTTTGGGACAGCCATGACGTTGTGTCTAAAAATCTCCATACATATTAAACCAGACAATTCACATCTAATGCATGGTATATAAACCAGATATATACTTACCAGCTTCTCTGATTGATTTCACGTAACATGAAGGGCCAAATAAAATACAATCCCCATTATGCAATATTTAAAGCATATCTATGATTTAGTCCACATATTGCACAAAACCCAAGTCAAAACATGAAATAAAAATGCTTAACTGATTTTACGACAGTCAAATCCTAAAATATAGTTTACAAACCAATGGCTAACTTCACCGAACCACCTACCAAAACAAACATTATGAATAACCCCTATACATTTCAGGATACACAACTTTCCACTTTTATGCTTATTGTACCTGAGAATATTGTGCCCCGTTTTCCTCTCACTTGTAACAAAAATTTCCTTCTCTGAAAGTGGCCTTCCCCTCTCAATTATAAGAGTATGGTAGTTTCCCCCAAGTTTTAAATACTCACAGCATGACAAAAACATAGGGATGACTGAATGGCTCCGGAACAGGCACATGGTCGAGACTAGGAAAATTGATAGTCCTGCTGCAGTTGAGGATTTTTAACGTACAATGGCATGAGGCTGGGCACGGCTGTATCGCTGCATCCAACCGCCTAATAGGCATCAATAGAGTTCCAAGGAAGAAAAGGAGGGTAGCGGAGGCCGCAACCTGTCCCATCTTTCTCATGTGACCCAGTAAAGGATGCCTTGGAAAATGGCATCCAGCCTTGGAAGTGACTCTATATAGTTACCAAGCAACCACATCCACATCATTCCAAATGGAGGTTGCACAATGAGGCTGCTGGTGGTAAAGACCACTGCATTCCAAGGGCTCCATTTGTTGTGACATCATTTTATCATGATTCCTGACATCATAGAATTGCCAGAACCATGGCAATATCGGTAGGGTCTCTTTTATAGATAATGAGTTGATTTCATGAGATCACTCAGATATTTGTGATTAATTTTTTTGGGTCGGAGCCACAGTGGAGAATACCATATATTTCAAGTGGAAAATCAGATTGTAAGACCTGGCCAGCATTCTACAGCTAATAAAAGACATCACTACAAATTATCTAAGGCTCGAAATAAGGGGGATTAATGGAGGAAGGAGGGTATTAGCACTTAGACTTATATACTGCTCCACAGTACTATACAGCATTCTGACTTTACAGTGTCAGCATATTGCCCCCAACCATCTAGTCCTCATTTTACCAACCTCAGAAGGATGGAAGGCTGAGTCAACCTTGAACCCATCAGGACTGAACTCCAGACTATGCACAGAGTTAGCCTGCAATACTACATAATCATTCTCAGAAGGGAAGATAAATTATAAACAGAAACTTCATGTGCAACATCTAGCTTTCTTCCTTTGCACCTAATTTATTTATTGCATTTGTATCATAGCAGCCCAATTCTTGGAGGCTTAGATGAGTACTATCAGTGGGATAATTTACAATACCAATAGTAAATCTAAAAACAAACCTTGAGAATATTAAAAGTGACAAAGAACAAAAAAAATCATCCCAAATAAGTTAAAATGCTATCCAGAACAACTTGATCTTAATCAGAGACATAAGCCTGATTTCCATAAAAAGACTTTTTCAAAGAAGAGTTAAACTGAAAAGCAGTAAATGATTGCTGGAGGCTTTGGGGTGATTAAATTATCACATCATTTTGCGAGTGATTTGCTATGGTTATTGATACACACACCCTCCCAAAATCTACTTTTGAAGAAAAGGGAGGATGCAGCACAAAAATAATTATTTTATTTAATAACCAATTTAAATTTCTTGTCTGTAAAATAGTATGGTCCCATTTATAATATTTTGATCTCAATCAATATCCACTGACTATTCTTACATATAGAAACCTCTCTCTCTCTCTCTCTCTTACAAACACAAGCATACTGACCATAGCACCCCCAGATATTTTTCCTTACTTCTGACAAGAATACAATAGGGTGGAATGAGATGAGGATGAGTAGGAGCTGCACTAGAGAGAAAGCTGAGGTAAAAACTTGAGAGAGAAAAGGAAACAGTAACTGGAAAAGAAAGGGAAAAAGTTGTCTCTTGCTTCTTTCTTTCTTTTCAACAGTTCTATTTTTACTGGCCCATTCCCTCACTTCCAGTGATTTGGGGGTGGAAGACAATAATTGGATATTTATGATACAAAACTGCTATCCAATTTATTGAAAACATTTGCTGCATATGAAACATATATAGTCAAGTCATATTTTCTATCAGTAAGCCATTTATTAGAAAAATATATAAACCAGAAAAATAACACTGCTTTTCCAACCATCACTGATTATAAATAGGTAATCAGTTTTTTCTTGGAAGAGTATTATCTTCTGATCGATAGCTTGCATTTCGTAGCTTCATCACCCAAATGCTCTAAAAACAAGGAGAACCAATTTCCAGGATGGATAATGGACAGGACAGGACACCCTTCCAGATCAGCAAGAAGAAAACAGAATCGGTGTCCATAATCTGCTATTCTCCATCCATATTAAAATTGCACAAGACCTCTTCTTCTCCCAGAGGGTCCAGCTGTAAAAATGACAATTCAGTTACCTGGGAAGAGAGGGAATAATTTACAAGGATAATTGGCAAAGGCTGAATTCTTCAATTCTCACAGATTTTTAATACAGTACATTTTGAACAATTCCAATATCTTAGATGCTTTCTGCATAGTTTAACAGAAGCTTTAAACCAGGGTTAGGCAACCGTGGCTCTTTTATGACGTGTGGACTTCAACTCCCAGAATTCCTGAACCAGTGGAGTTGAAGTCCACGAGTCATAACAGAGCCAAGGTTGCCTACCCCTGCCCTAAACCATGAGAATGGGCTCCTTTTACATACAATTTCATATCATTTCCAAGCAACTGTCTTTTCCTCTAAATTTTCATAAGGATCTCTAGGATTGACATAGGATGTTAGTTATATTAACCCAAAACTCTCCATCTTTCAAATAAAATCTGCTTAAGATATCATACAAAGCCTTTTGTAATTGTTTTAGTATGTGAATCAAGCCATCCTAGTTTAAAAATTGTAGCAGATACAATTACTGTACCCAACCAACTGTAGCTAAGTCAACAATTACAACTAAACAAACCATGACTTAGTCTACTCTGCAAATACTACCTAAAAGTCATGATTTAACAGTGCAAACACATTCTAAAAGACCAACTGCTTAATGTTCTACTATAGCTCTGCAGATTTAGCTCCAACAAATCCCATAATATCTAGATAATAGTACATGATGAAGGTAGTCTTATTTTTCTTATCTTTGGGAAATAGTATACCTAAGCTGATCCTCTGGATCATATGCTTTGTCCTGTTCTGTATTGGTCACTTTTAGTCATGCTTACATGCTGGCTAAGCAACTAGGACATTTGATATATTTTTGTGTATGCATGCATGCATTCACTATTTCTTTTGCTCTTTTTGCTAGTTAAAACTCAACAGTGGCCACAGATTTGGAAAAGATCAGTTTAGATTCCAATTCCAAAGAAAGGCAATGGCAAAGAATGTTCAAACTATTGCACCATTGCACTCATTTCACATGCAAGTAAAGTTATGCTTAAAATCCTACAAGCTAGACTCCAGCAGTATGTGAATCGAGAACTTCCAGAAGTACAGGAAGGATTTCGAAGAGGCAGAGGAACTAGAGATCAAATTGCCAACCTACACTGGATCATGGAGAAAGCTAAGGAGTTCCAGAAAAACATCTACTTCTGCTTCATTGACTATGCTAAAGCCTTTGATTGTGTGGATCAGATGAGAGTACCAGACCATCTTATTTGTCTCTTAAGAAACCTATATGCGGGTCAAGAAGCAACAGTGAGAACTGGACACGGAACCACTGATTGGTTCAAAATTGGGAAAGGACTCCGGTAAGGCTGTATTCTGTTGCCCTGCCTATTTAACTTATATGCAGAGCACATCATGAGAAAGGCAGGGCTAGATGAATCAAAAGTTGGAATTAAGATTGCCGGGAGAAATATCAACAGCCTAAGATATGCAGATGATACCACTCTAATGGCAGAAAGTGAAGAGGAACTAAAGAGCCTCTTGATGCAGGTGAAGAAGGAGAGTGCAAAAGTTGGTTTGAAACTCAACATTAAGAAAACCAAGATCATGGCATCCGGCCCTCTCAATTCTTGGCAAATAGATGGGGAAGAAATGGAAGTAGTGACAGATTTTGTCTTCCTGGGCTCCAATATCATCGCAGATGGGGACTGCAGCCAAGAAATTAAAAGACGCTTGCTCCTGGGGAGGAAAGCTATGGCAAATCTAGACAGCATACTAAAAGCAGAGACATCACCCTGCCAACAACAGTACATATAGTCAAGACCATGGTTTTCCCAGTTGCAATGTATGGCTGTGAAAATTGGACCATAAGAAAGGCTGAGCACCAAAGAATTGAGGCCTTTGAACTATGGTGCTGGAGAAGACTCCTGCAAGTCCCCTGGATTGCAAGGTGATCAAACCAGTCAGTCCTAGAGGAGATCAACCCTGATTGCTCTTTAGAAGGCCAGATCCTGAAATTGAAACTCAAGTACTTTGGCCACCTAATGAGAAGGAAGGACTCCCTGGAGAAGAGCCTAATGCTGGGAAAGATTGAGGGCAATAGAAGAAGGGGATGACAGAGAATGAGGTGGCTGGATGGAGTCACTGAAGCAGTAGGCGTGAGCTTAAATGGACTCTAGAAGATGGTAGAAGACCAACGTTGTCCATGGGGTCACGATGGGTCGGACACGACTTCGCAACTAACAACAAAATTCCAGAATTTCCCAACCTTTCCAGATTGCAGACTGGTAGGGAGGGGGAGAAAAGAGGTGGTTCTGTTCAAGCAGCTGGCAAGCGTGCACATGCAACTCCATTTGCAAATGCACTCATCCATTGCTCAGACAAGTGGGAATGTGCGTGCCTGTCCCTTCCACAGCCCGGTTCCAAACAGGTCAAGGCCTGGTAGTGGGCTGCGGCCCGGGGTTGAGACCACTGCCCTATTCCAATCAATTGAAAAAAATCTAGATCAGATACAAAGACAATTCCATCTTTGAAAAGGAAGAATAGCTTTATGCTTTAGATCAAAGTGCAGCTAATTATAGGGAGTTTCACGAGAGTTGGACAGATGTTTCTAAGAAACTCAGAAAATTTGATAAGTATCAATCTTCTCTGCTTTTGTTAAGCTTCCATTCTTATTTTACCAGGATTATCAGAATTGTATCTTACATATCTGGAGGACTTCAGGTTGAGAAATGTTAAGGGTGACAACTATTCCCATTTATTCATTAGTCCCCAGCATATGTTGCTTAGTGATATTTTTCTTCTAAGTCCATACTTAGCTATCATGGCTTTATAATTTTGCTTAAAATGGCTCTTGCTAACTAGACTGCTTTCAGATAAGTTAGGCTGCAGTTTCCAGAATTTCCAATCTACCGTATACCTCTGTATGTTTTCTAAGAGGACTGCCAACAGAGTGATCACAGCTTGTCAAATATGCATAAATTCTAGAATTTTTTCATACTCTATTTGAAATGAATATAGAGCCTATGGGCAAGAAAGGTAGCCAAAGAACATTTTAAAGATTGGACACATTGATACATTACTTGGCATTCTTGGAAAATGATTTGCAAAGGTTAGTCCTTTCAACAGCACTTCTTTCTATTCTGTCTTGTACATGGTAATAGGGGTTGTATAGAGAAGCTTATAGATGAGATGCTTGCATCCTGTGTTTCTAGGGATGCTAATTAAATTAGAAACAATTCTTCTCAAGAATTCACCACTCACAATCCTTCAAGCCTGGGACATCAGCAGTCCTGAGGTTCCAGCCTAAATTGCTAAGAAGAGCTGATGAGTGACTTGTTATACACTGTAGCACCTCTAGTTTCCAGACCACTTGTCCCCCTTGGTCCAAGTCTGATAAACTGATATAAATGCCCCAGTAACAATTGCATTCTGCATTCTAAAATGCTTGAGGCATAATTACTTATATTCATTCCTTTCAGCCTCCACACACTTATGATGCCAAGAGATGAGCTTGTTAATTGAAAGCAAGTTGAAGGATTATGTTATTTGTTGTTTGGAATGGTTAAAAGATTGGATAAATTTGAACAACCTAAGATTGTTGGACCTTGAAGGTGATTTAAGATGTGGCTGGTATGCTTATTTGTGGTTATGACAAAGTAAAAGTTAACCTTGGTTTTAAGAATCATATCATTAGGTAATCAATTGGGCATGTATGGTGGAAATATAAAAGATTAGTTATCATCCCATGAAGTTCTACATAGAAAAGAGATGTTATTGGAATGCAAATGGATGACATATCAGGATTTATTGACATTTGAAGAAGAAGAACTTAAGATAAAAACAAGAGAAGAATTAGTAAGTGAAGGATTTGTTTGTGATTGGTTTAATTATTACAGATTTTTTGAAAGCTTTAAACTTGATACAATGAGTTGGTTTTTTTTGTTGTTGTTGTTGAATTAGAGATCAATTTATATTCTGGAGATGACCAGCTGATTGCTAAAGTATATAAAATGGTTACTTAAGATGAATCTGGAAGATGAATTTGTCAAAGATTGTATGGGAAAGTGGGCAAAAAAATTGGGTTATAACCTAATACTGGATAAAGGAGAGAATGTATGGACTAATTGTTTAAAATTACTTTGAGTTACAATCTGAAAGGATTTTTTTATAAAAATGATGTATCATTGGTATTTGACCCCAGATAGAATAGTGAAAAAGTATAGAGGAATCTCTAACAAGTGTGGGAAACATCAACAAAATACAGGCACATTTTATCATATGTGTTGGTCTTGTAAACATGTTAGATCACACTGGATTAACATAATAATGATAATGCTGAAAATATTTAAGATACAAATACTAATGAAACATGAAACTCTTCTTGTAGCTATTATGCATAAATCAGTTACAAAACATTTTGGGATGCTATTTCTTTACATGGTGACTGTTGCTAGGATTGGACTTGCTAAACACTAGAAAGGAAAAGAGATATTGATTGTTGAAGAATGGATTTTAAAATTGACTGAATTAGCAGAGATGGCAAAATTAACTGGATAGACAATTGACTAGACAACTTTACAAGGGATTGGAAGCCATTGGTGGACTTTTTATGTGTTAAATACAATAAAAGAAGATTATCAGAAAGATTTGAAGATTAGTATAATGTTTGGCCTTTTTACATATATATTATATGTTGGATTGATTTGATTATTAGACAGAGATTAACTCATCTGGAATATTTGTTTATTTAATATAGTATTCTTTGTTAAATAAGGATGGGAAATCTGTTATGTAAGGGGAGAACTTAACAGGTTTTTTTTAACTTTATTTTTCAGCATTCAGCCAGGTAAATTTTTTTATGTTCAAGGTTAGATCTATTTAACATGGGGAGGGGAGGTTCTACACAATATTTTTTTTTCTCGTTAGCGTTGGATGTTCATTTTTCTGTTTTGTATTTTATTCTTGTTCATAAAGGAAATAAATTAATAAAAAAGAAGCAATTTGAGGGCATGCAAATGCATTGGAAAAAGGCTTGTTTACCTGAATGAGACCCCTGAGTTCGTCTTCTGATACACAGTCAATGAGGTCTTTCTCAGGATAGTTGTACTCCACTGCCAACTTCCCATTTTCTGAAACAAGCTATCAAAAATAAGGCCAACAAATCAACCATAAACAAATGAATACAGATTTTGAAACATGACTGAAATTTATTTAGGATTTTATAGATTCTCAATTAAGGATTTTTGAACTAAAATTTATAATATTTTTTATTATTTCTAAATTATAAGCTAGTGCTTATAATCAATAACTATAATCCATTTATAATCTGATTGAAAGTAAGATTTAAGATTAATTTAGATGGGATATGAGAGATTTGTGGGCAGAATCTCCTGAGCTTTGGCTAAAGTTGGTTCTCAGTAACAATCAACAGTAAGGTGCTCCAGAAATGGGATATTTAATAAAAAGAAAGGTCAACTGGAAAATATTGGTGTGAGCATGAATATCAGCAATGTACGTAAATGTACCAACAAAATGAATCAGGATTTCCAGTGATGCAGGAAACATGACAGAAATTAAAAGCCAGGGGATGGAATTATTTTATGATTATTGACGTGAATAAAAACAAAGTTTCTATGAAGGCAAACAGAAAAACAACAAGGCAGAGAAAGGATCTATGGAAGCATGAAACTGAATACCTTGAGAAGAAAAAAACCAAAGTACAAAGCAGATAAATGTGTTCACAACAATGAGAATATGTTAAGTCATTGCACCCTCCAATTTGCCAGTAGCTAACTGGAATAACGGAAGCTTTTATGCAACTCATCTGGATGTTGAAAGTGCTACATTAGGCGACATGAACAATCGAAGCCAGATGAAAGAGATTTTAGAGAAAGTGTGTACAAAATAAGTAAAACATTGCTTCACTACAATTTAGTATAATGAATAAGAATAAAATGAGCCTTGGCTTTGCATTCTTGCTTCTCTTTATTACAGAAAGGCTTTCAAGAACACTTAAAGGGAAAACACTTCCGTTTTCATTTGCAATTTATTGTTCAAACTGACAAAAGGATAGCAAATTACATTAAGCCACAAGCCTTAGAGCCAATAAATAGCTTATGTATATTTAATTATACAGATATTCAACCATTTTCTTGGCTGGGAGATGGAGGAAAGTATGGAAGAAGGAATTATAAGGAAGGTTGATGGTCTTGCCTAGGATTATGAAGAGTACGGTATTTTCCGAAATGCATCCGAGAGTGCCTGTTGCACTGCAAACTTCTGAGCATTGCGGGTGGCCATCAGAAACTCTGAAAGACATAAATCAAAAATAATAAATTGATTCAATTTTTTTTTGTAGCTCAAGCACTGCTGAACATTTTTTTTTAATTTTTTATTAGCTTATAGTATAAAATACAAAAATACAAAAGCAAGTAGTAGGAAACAAATGGGGGGGGGGAGGAAAGAAAAAAGTGTGGAAGAAGGGAAAAAGAAAAAAAAAAGCAACTCCCTCTATTGCGGTAGCATAAGGCATTAACACCGGACCTCAACTTTTTACTTTTCCATAATAAAATAAACTAGCCATTTCTATAACAGCAAATCAATCTAATCAGTAAAACCCAAAATCAAAGTTTCATTTTTTTCCACCTCAAGTACAAAGTCCAGAAGTGGTTTCCAAGTAGAAACAAAAGTACTTATATTCTTTTCTTTGATCAAAGTGGTCAATTTAGCCATCTCTGCTAACTCCATCAATTTTGGTAGCCTTCGTCCATGGTGGGTATCAAAATGTTCTTCTATTTTTGTGCATAGAGCAGTCTTGCTACTGTCAACATATATAAGATCGGAATTCCATTTTTCCCCCAAGTCTTTTTCCATTAAGCCCCCCCCCAAAAAAAGTTTCTGGTTTTATCTTTATATTCACTTTAAGAATTTTCTATATTAGAATATGAATCTTACTCCAATATTTTTTTGCTTTATCACATGTCCACCATAAATGATAAAAGGTCCCTTATTTACATTTACATTTCCAATATTCACTTAAAATATCTTTATATAGTTTAGATAGCTTGTCTGGTGTTAAATACCAGCAATACATCATCTTATAGAAATTTTCTTTTAAATTATAGTTTAATGTGAATTTTAAACCTTTCATTCACATATTCTCCCATTGTTCAAGTATCACATTATTCCCAAAGTTCCTTGCCCACTGAATCATATATTTTACATGTTCACTTTCCCAATTCAATAACATTTTATAAATCTTAGCAATAATATATTCATCACTATTCAAGTACTGCTGAACATTTTTGAATCATTGTCAGTCTTGCAAAAAAAGGCAGTTCTGACACAATAGCTAGTTCAAATTTAATTCAGATTCAATATATAAAAAACTTTATCTGACATAAGAAAATTAAATGAAATTAATAAAAATTGGTCTCTTTATATTTTATTTAAACTAGTCATTTTATGCGGCAAACACTGATTTAATAGCCTTTTACCACTATAGTAGATTTAAATCTGGAGCATAATGCATTTGAGCAGTATGTGGCTATGAAATTTCAAGGATAATGAGGATGGTGACTATATCCCATCAAGGTGGTGTATGTAATATTTCCTTACAATGGTTTTGTGAAGTGAGTTGGGCTGAAAGAGTGACTAGTTCAAAGTCACTGAGCCAGATATATGCCTAAGGAAAGACCAGAACTCACAATCTTCTGTTTTTTTAATTGTGGGACTTCTCAGAGGAAATATGGCATGAATATAATGGAGCACATTTCCATCTATCTACAATCAAGCTTTCTTCAATCAGGTTAGCAATAACCTCATTGCCCCAGTGATTCCAATGTTCTACAAGCTCTCTAGCTTTCCAAGCTAGATGAGACCTCAGGTAATTGTCCCCCAAAATAGCTGGAAGATACCTGGCTAAGGGAGACTACTCTAGAAAACTACATCTAGTAGACTATTTAGCCCTTTTTTAACTTGCTGCAGATTCTCACCATTCTTAGGAGCTATCCCTCCAACCCACAGGCTCAATCCACATTTAACATTGCATGACAATATATACTAAAGACAGCTGTGCTTTTTATTAGAATGGAAATGTCATTTAAGTCCTAGTAGCCCTCCATTAAGAATCATCCTCAAATGTGATTTTTGGTGGAGAACAAAACCCCATCCAAGTAGAGAACAACCTATTTATTACTGCACTGTAAGTGATAGTATTACTTTTATTTTGCTTTGGGTACATCACTCCAGCCTCCACTACCCTCTCCATTCCCATGTTACCTTGATTGGGGTTCACCTGAAGTTCAGCCACTCCAATCCCTCTGGTATAAATCCCATAATGAGGGATGTTTAATTCTTGCACACAAAGATACTTTGAATGATGGTGCCTGGGTAATGTTCCTCTTTCTTCTTTCTCATTATCTTCAAAGCCAGGTATATTCTGCAGCTGTTCCATTATGCAGGGAATATATACTGTAGAAGGGAAAACAAGAGCGTATGCCTTTATCCATCCTACAATGGTTCTTCTCCCTTCCCCTTCCCGTAATTCCATTGTAGAACATTTGCATTCTGTAGATTAGTGTTCTAAACCAGGAGTGTAGTTTTTGTTTTGCTTGCACCCTGGCAGCTCCTTATACTCATGGAACAAGAAGCACCTGGTCTCTCACATAGAGATACAGTCTAGGACAAGTCAGAAACAGCTACAACAAATGGAAGACTGTTCCCCTGACCTCTGGAATTCAAGGCAGGCAGGTGTTTAAAAAAAATCTAAACACCTTGGCTTCTGAGTAGTTCTTATCCCTTTCCTCAGGAGAGAAAAGGACTATAGGGCCCACACCAGATACAAACAATGAACGAAGTTGAAGGAAAAAACGGATGTTTACAAGGAAGGATAAGCCTTTTGGGCTTAGAGTGGTTCTTGTTACACCATTGCTTTGTGAACTGCATTACTGCTAGTTTGCTTCTGACTGCAGTTCAAGATGGCAATAATCACCTTTAAAGCCTTTCATGGCATGGGTCCAGGATACTTGAGGAATTGTCTATTGCAGGGGTAGGCAACCTTGGCTCTTTTATGACTCGTGGACTTCAACTCCCAGAATTCCTGGAATTCTGGGAGTTGAAGTCCACGAGTCATAAAAGAGCCAAGGTTGCCTACCTCTGGTCTATTGCAACAGGATTGGTCTGCCCCACCCGTGGTAGCAGAGGAGGCATGCTGTGGGCCCCTTTATCCAGGGTATTCTGGCTGTTGGGGTCCAGAAGAGCCTTCTCTGCCATCACCGTTGCTCTTTGGAACATCTTGCCCCTTAGACAAGGTCGGTTCCCACCCTCCTGAGGTTCTGTAAAAGCCCAAAAGCTGGCTCTGCCAGTTAACTTGGGGCTCCAATAGGGGAGTGTCATACTGGTGATTCTTAATAACCAATCTCCCTGCTCATCTTGCTCTCTCTCTATCTTTTAGTTAGTTGATAATTTGTACTTTTATAGCATTGTATTTATATTATAGGCATGTTTTATCCTTTTTAACATTGCAAGCAGCCAAAAGTTCCCTGTGATAAAATGGACAGCAAGCAAATCTAAATGAATAAATATCTAAATGGATAAATAAATAAGCAGGCCATAATAACAAAATAAATAAACATCCAGAGATGAAGAAGTACAACTACCAATATAGATTTGCCTGAATTAATATTTTTCTCCAAACACTTCTTAGAACATTGTAGTTCTGTAAGTAGAAAATGAACATTTAAATTATGTATCAAAAAGTAAAATGAGGATCCAGATTGTTGGAGGCAATATGCTCACATTGTAAATTGCTCAGAGAGTGCTATCAAACACCACAAAGTGGCATATGCTATTGCTATATTTAGTCATTCTTTATCATTCTTATGAAAATAGAAAAATAAGAAACAAAATGAAAGCCTAAGTGATTCTTACAGTGATGATGCAACTGGACCAACCATTGAAACCAAGGTAGTAATTAGCTAATTCTTGGCTTTTGTTCAAAGGTAATGTTTGCTTTGTAAGAGCTCTCTGTCTGGTACAAATGCAAACCTGAAAAAGAAGAATCCCATATCTCATTAGAGAGATGTACAGAACTCCCCATTTTCTCCCAAAAGAAATAAAGTCATCAAAAACTGGATTTCAGT